TTGACATAATCCTTCAGATTGTTTTATCTTTAGATTATTTTTTTTTGCTACCAAGAAATCATTTTCAAAATAATTATCTCAATGGATTTTCCCTATCTTTCATTAACTTCTCAATATACCCTTATTTAAACTTCGGAAGCAAATGTAATGCCACTAGTAATGTTTGTAAACAAAGCTTAAAATAAAACATATCATATAAATTCAAATTCAGATGTATTCTCATTACAAATATAGTTAATTTAAGATAATATTTTTTAAGATCAAACTTGAGGGTTAATTTAATATATGACAAATGGCCAGATTAATCTGACAGTATAAATCAACAGAGTTAAATGCCTCTTATAAAAGCAGAAGTTGAATATTCTAATAATGCTTTGTAAAAGATGGGTTTTGATGTATTAAATTTAGATGTATAACTTTATAAAACAGAAAAGTGATTTTGCTGCTTACAGTATAATTTCTACCAGCAAGGAAATTACAAACAGAATCATAATAAAAATGAAGAAAATAATAAAGGCCGCTCCTTAATAACTGCAGCACTTTGAGTGGAAAGGAGATGATGAAAATCAGGGTTTAAAGAACATAAGGACTTGATTGTAAGACAGTAACAGCCCTTTTCTCTCCTGTTTGCCAGTTTCTTTTCACTGGACTTGGGCCCATGCTGGGGGAACTGAAAACAAAACAAAAAAACAGTTAGGATATTCCCATTTAATTGTCTTTGGTTGTTGAAATAACAATATGATGGATACACTTAAAAGCTCTGTTGTACTGATACAAAACCAGGATTATTTACCCTCAAGCCATAGACTAATTAGCATCACGTTGGGAACCTGTAACACTTCAAACTCCAAGGCAACAGGAAGTGGATCTCAAGACAAATCTACAGGTGCCTATGCCAAAGCATGAACGGCTCCTATCAATCCCTGTTAGGAGAGGGGAAAGTTCGACTACACCAGTATAAAATCTGCTTACTCTTTAATGTGATTGTGATTGTAAAAATGTGTTCTGGTATAGGACATATCCTTACAGATATTTTGTGCTATGTTTAAATATCTTACCTTTGCATTGTTATATTGTTCTTATTATCAATAAATGCTCTATTTCATATAGTTTATCTCTTTTCTCCACAGATTGATATAGCTGAAGACAAAAACTGTTTACTTAATAAAAATATCACCACCTGGTGGTGACTCCTATAAACTGAAAAGACATAATCCCTAAGATTTCCCAATAATACAAAAGCATATTACATAATCCCAAAGACTTCCAAGAGTTACGACTGACAGAGGCAACCATTCTGAAGACAGCAAATATCACAGTATTAATTAGAACATAATTTTTAAAAGGCTTGGTAATGCCTTATTTGGAAGTTTTTTCTCAATGTAGTTCTGTAGTACTGAATAGATAAATACATTTTCTCTTAATTTCTTGTACTATTCAGCCACTTTCATTCATGTATTCATCATAGTATTTAGTGAATGCCTATTTCATGCTAAAAAGTATTCTAGGTACATAGGATTATAACTGCAAACAAAACCAAAAAAAATGTGTGTGTGTATACACATATAGACTGTGACTAGACTGTGAGTACACAGACTTGACTTCTTTTTTTCTTGGGGAGTACAGTTGCTTTACAATGTTATGTTAGTTTCGGCTGTAAAGACTTTCCTCACATCTGACATCATGTGTGAGTTCTGGTGTTCCTCAAACCACTGTCAATTTTAGTAATTCACTAAAAGAACTCACAGACCTCCTTGAACGTTGTGTAGCCACAGGTATGGTATGTTACAAGGAAAGGGTACAGATCACAGCCAGTCAAGAGAATAAGCACATACAGCAGAATCCAGAAAACAGGCCTAAGTGTGGAGCCTCTGTTTTTCCTTTCCCTGAGGAGTCACGAACTGCATTACTTCCCTAGCATCGATGTGTGACCACACACTGGAATATTGCCAATAAGAAATGAATCCTGCTGTGCACCCTTTAGTGGGGCTTCATCATGGTAGGAGTAGGGCAAACATGGGTGACTGCTCACAAGACTGATCTGTTTCCAGCTCCTCAGGAGGTCAAGCTTATATGGAATGAATAACTCAAAGTTACTACACTAAGTCACATTTTTACTACCTGGCTGATCTAAGGACCTCAAACAAAGTCACTTCTATCACGTAAACATTCCAAGTACTTAGTTACCTCCCCAAAAGAGCAAAGGTCAGGGCTCTCTTTGCATAGGATTAAGCTCTTCACTATATATATGTACATTGGTCATATACAGCTCTTATACAGGTCATATACAGTGCTTCACATATATATGTATATATGCATATATCTCAGGTAATGCTAAGTATTTTGACATAAAATAGGCACCAGATGTAATTTTAAAAATTAGAATAAAGGAATAATGACAGAAGAAGTGTTGTTTTCAAATATTTTAGTGAGGAAAGCATTCACTGATTAAGGTAACATTTCATCAGAGATGCAAGTCAAAGATCAAGGTGTTAACTGATTTGGTTCTTGGTAAGAGCTCTCTTTTTGGCTTGTAGACAGCGTCTGTCCTCACATGGCCTTCCTTCTGAGGAAAGAGAGAGCAAGCTCTCTGGTGTCATTTGAAGCACTATCTCAAACAGTCCACACTATTTCCTTCTTCTTTTGTTCCTATCATCTCCAGTGACTATCTAGCCCTATACTGAAAAATTCCCATACTTGTACATCAAGTGTGCCCAATGGGTACATTTATTTGAACTATTTATTCCTATAATTTTAATATTAGCTAAGAACTCCCAAAACACACTCTTAGTCTTCTCTCTCTACACTTTTAACTCATATAACCAACTGCTTTCTAGACATCAATTTATATGTTTCATAGGTGCCTCAAATTCTATTATTACTTATATATATTAACTCAAGCCTCCCCCTCTAACTTCCCCCCCACCAAAATCTTCCTCATCCTATGTTCTTTATATTTTAGGATACAGTACCTCCCCATTGGATCATCTTTCAAATCTTCCACTTGGGAGTCACCTGACCCTTTCCTCTAATTCTCCACATCCAGTGAATTACCAAATCTTGACCATCTTTTTCCCATTAGTATTTCTTAATTCCAGTCCTTCCCATATTCCATCTTGCTCTGCCATCCCATTCTGTCTCCCCAAAATCACAGCCTAAGACTCTCTACATCCATTCTTGCCTTCTCCATTCCTTTCTACTCAAAGCAGTCAAAATAATATTTTGCTGACTTAAAATGTATTATTCTTTCTGTGACATGTAAGGTCTTTTATGGCCAGGCTCCTTTCCATCACTTTGGCCTTAACCATCAATTTCTTAAGTTTCATTGTGGAATTTTCTCACTCTCCAACATTTTCATCATCTTTCTTCATGTACAACATTCCATCCCCCTGTAATAATTTACTGCTTACCCTCTCATTCTTTAGAAAGAACTAACTTGATTCCAAAATTATATGCTTTTGCTATAACATCTCATGGCTATTGGTGGGTGGGGGGAAACTTCTTCCTTTACCTTCCTATGTTTAGTTCTTTGGGACTTGGCATACTAAATTGACAAAAGATGGATTAGCAAGTGAAGGAAATGAAAATCCAGTCCAGTATTCTTGTCTGGAAAATCTCATGGACATAGGAGCCTGGTGGGCTACAGTCCATGGGGTCACAAAGAGTCAGACACAGGTGAGCACACCCACACGCATACAAAACAGATTTAATCACATATCTACAGGAGTTCACAGAATTGTGCCTCAAGGCAGTGGTTAGAACTTGGCACTTATGTACCATCTTTTAGGGAAGGGAAGGAGGAGAAATCTATTTATGGGAAAACAAATGTTTTTTACAAAAGATAAATGTGCTTTTATGAGAATAGATGGAAGATATAATATTTTTGTTACCAAGTCTTTTTAGATGTGATGCTGATTTGCAGTCTCTAGTGACAAAAGTTCATCTAGTCCATCTTCTCTGATTACATTCCCAAGGAAGGGATTTATGACAATAAAGATCTTCTGAGTTCTTCTGGGAAGCGGTGTTTTTAGGCATTTAAAAGATTTCAGGAATTCAAATGCTACGGTTCAAAATAATGTTTTCTGCCACAGAGAAGTATTCTGAACCTTCATATGGCATTTTCCTTTAACTCAAAACATACATTTCTTTTGCCTTTATCTTCTCTTAAAGACTGTAAGCAAATGAAAGTTGATGCCAGACTTGTCTTGTTCAGTGAATATCTCCAGCACCTTTAAATCAGTATATGTACAAATGAACCAGATATTCCCAGGGAAATTTGCAAACCTGTGTGGCCAAACCACTTGATTATTCAAGAATAGCTCGTGGAAGATACTCAAGGGCCTGCTCAATCAGCAATAGACAGCTTCACCTGAACATAGGAATCTTCAGCTACTGTTTTATTTAAATAACCTAAGTGCTCTGCACTGAATTTGGGTAAGCAGGCTCATCTTATGCGTTTAGATAAATGTAATAAATAACAACAATCCTTTAAGAGAGGTAGGAACGTTCTTATACTTAATCATAGATTTGAAACAGGTGCGAGGCTGTTTTCATGCCATAGCCACTAGTTCAAAAATTAAAAAAGTGATTAATTTCTTGAGGGGGAAAAACATTGGACTCTCAGGTTCTTTTACTGTGCCAACCAACGTTCACAGGGCCTACTGGGAAGCAAACTCCCAAGAGAATAAACTAAAACCCAAAACCCGCCTCCTCACATGCTGGACTTCGGTAAAGAAAACCTGAGTCTCCTGCCGGCTTTCCCTCCAAAGGTACAAAGGCAAACATCTCTGAGCACAACACACATTTCACCTGAGCCAACCCGGGACCTCCCGGGCCGACGTCCTCTGACGTCACCGGAAACGTCTGCTTGTGACGTTCAATGTCCCTCCCTCTTGCGCTGGGCGCCGGAAGCAAAGCGGAAGTGGACGCGTACCGGTTTCCGGCCCCGGTCGCCATTTCCAGCGGTTGCAGGTACTCACGAGTTGAGGTCTGCTGGGACAATGAGCTATGACTACCATCAGAATTGGGGCCGCGATGGTGGCCCCCGCAGCTCCGGCGGGGGTTACGGAGGAAGCTATGGAGGCAACCATGGAGGAGGCCATGGGGGGAGCCGAGGCTCTGGAGGTGGTGGCGGCGGCGGAGGGGGTGGTCGAGGCGGCCGAGGCCGACATCCTGGGCACCTGAAAGGCCGCGAAATCGGCTTATGGTACGCGAAGAAACAAGGCCAGAAGAACAAGGAAGCAGAGAGGCAGGAGGTAAACTGTGACTCGGTAGTAGGGGGAGGATGGAACTGAACAGGTTTCTTTTCTAGCTTTCCGCTCTTCCCCCCCCGCTTTTTTTAAAAACTTTTTTTGTTTTTTTTTTTAAATGCTGTATGTGCTTTGTGAAGTGCAAGTACTAAAGCCTCCTGTGGTGGATACTATAGCGGTAACGTTTGCCATGTGCATCTTACCTGCAGCTGTTGAGGTTTAGTTTGCCAAGAGTATACTTTGCTTGAAAGACAGAGAACTGGGAACCAAATATTAAAGGTCCGTCCGGGATTAACTTTATTGGATATCCCGTAGTATCTCTGGCTGTCCTTTCCGTTATGATAATGTTAGTTTCATTTAAGTTCTTTGCCTGATGAACTCTAAAATAACGGTTTTATACATTAATACAGGTTTGCGTGGAACAAAACTATCAAGCACTATTTTGAATGTAGATCCTTCCACCTTTCATTTTAGTATTAAAATAGGCACAAACTCCGGTTTTTTACCTTTACGGTGGGCTGCGGAGATTTCTGCTGATTAGCAGCTGTTTGAGAAAGAAACCTAGGATCCCGGAAGTGGAAGAAGTTTCGAGAGTTGATTTGGTTGTCTTTTGTCTCAGCTGGCAGTTGTTCCTTTGATTTGTATACTAAGCACCTGTCTGTAATAAAGGAACCATTAAAGTTCCCCGAGTGGCCTATTTTAATAATTATGTATATATGATTAAACCGAAGTTTTTTTAATATGAGCTTTACAGTAGCTTTCTACTGACTTAAAAAGCACCTTTCATATTAGATGCCGAGTGTGATTGAATCACCATTTAGGCTTCTGTGTTTCAGTCATCTCATTTCTGTTTTCCTTTTATCCATGTCATTTGTATTGAATTTGGGGGGGGAGCATTATCCATTTACCTTAACAAGTTAGCGTTATTCTTCAAACAGCATATTTATTTGACGTTCAAAAATTAGCATATTCATTGAGCAAACTTTTTTTTAAAGTTAAGGGAAGCACATTTAAGTTGTCTTGAAATTGGGAGAATGATTGAATAATTAGTATTAGAGAATATACATAGTAACTTCCCAAGAACTCTTTATCAAATTTTTTTTTACCCCCTTTTTCACACAAGGTTTTATGGATGATGCTATGGAGATCTGAACAGTATTCAAGGAGCTTACAGTCTAGTTGGAAAAATAAGAACTAAACAGATGAAACATTAAGCAAATCAGGAAAATCTGTTATTTCCACCTGAAGCCAGTTGTACGTTGCCTGATTATGAACTAAACTCTTGACTTCCACCACTCCCAAAACTTTCTCCATTTTAGTACAAGTCACTGGCATCTTTTCATTTGTCAAGGCCAAAATGAGATTTGTTTTGATTCTTCTTTGATTTCAGCAAATCTGTTTTTCTTCTTAATATATCTCAAATCTAACCACCTATCTCCACAATAGTTACCATAGATCAAGCCACTATTTTGTTGTCTGTCCCTGAATCTTAACTATCTGGTCTTCTACTCCTTCCCATAAAATCTGACTCTTACAGAGCCTTAGATCATCTCATTCTCTAGCTGACAGTTTGAAAACCAGGTCACTTGTCTCAGTCTCATACATTTCAGTCGCATCCTAATGTGTTTTCCAGGAATCTTGGAAATTTAGATTCTGCATATCAGGTTTCCTTCTACGTACCATACTTTTCTGAGCTTGTTTCCCAATCTGGTGTAATTAAAGCTTTCATAAACATACTTTTATTTTTGCTTTTTTATTATAGTTCTCATACCATTCTCTAAAATTATCTCTCCATTTTCTCTACTAAATATTTGAATTTTTTGAAATATTTCAATAATTTGGCTCAGCTTATCTCTTTTTTTGATCACTTTCAGCCTTACATGATTGCTTGCTTTCCAGTCAAAATTCCCATAACTTTTACCTTTTAAGTAATCTCTCTGCTTACAGTGACTGTGTTCTAATGATGCATTGTTACAGTTTCACCAGGTATTTTTGAGGCTGTAATGTATTTGAAATAGTATCAGAGGTGCTGTGTTAATAGTCCATACCTTACAGAAATTGAGGTGTGTTAGGTGCTATAGGGCAGTTAGAATGCAATATTTTAAGTAGTACAATAAGGAAGCTATGGCCGTATCGCCTAACTCAAATTAGAAAGAGCCTAGTAGGTTCCCTAGAAAAGGAAACCCTTAAGCTGAAACTTGAGAAAGTATATTTGTGTTTGTGACTTGGGATCTTCGAACGGGATTTTTAGGCAGAAGCTGCAGCATGCACCACAGCCTAGAGGTCAGGAGCAATGTGTTCAAAGAACTGAACAAGTAAGGACGTGGCTGAGGAGGGCACAAAACGGACTATATTTTAATTTGCAACCCAGTACTCATGTATAACTGAACAAGATGTTTCATAAAATAATAATTACCTGTACATTGCCTGGGGCTTTTGTTTTTACCTTTCTGCCCTCTCCGCCTGTCCCCTTTAATGCTGGTCATGATACTTTCATTGTACAGATAGCAGGATGAAAGGTCCTGGACTAGAAGATAAGCAGGGCTCTGACATTCTTTCCCCTAAGAACTCAAGCAAGTTATTAAAGCATTTTAAGCAAAAATGAAGTGTTAGATTTGTGTTTAAATTCACTCTGGGTAGCAGTATAGAGAATTAATTGAAGAAGAGACAGTCCTGGGACGGGGAGACCAGTTAAGTAGCCCCTGAAGTAATTCAGGTGAGGAATGACACCTTGGGTTAGGACATTGGCAGTAGAGATGGCAGGAAGTGAACAGCTTCAAGTGTTTTAGGAGATAGACTCAAGATGATTTTATCTGGAGGAAGGGAAAGCAGGTGTGAATGAATGACACTAATGACTACAAAGAGCACACTCATCGGAGGAAAACGATGGGGTCAGCTTAAGCACACCAGGTGCGGTGTTACAGGGCGTAGAAGTGGTTTCAGTAGTAGAAGTAGAAGGCTGCGGGTCTGATGCCTAGAGAAATCTAGACTGCAGGTGAATATAGAAGTGAATGGGAATAGTGCTGGGGACAGGCCTGAAGTCTGTAGACCATTGCTTCTCAAAGCTGAATCACCTGGCATCTTGTAAAAATGTAGAACTCGGGTGGGCTCAGATACAGCTTTTCTCACAGGCTCCCAGATGACATCAATACTGCTGGCCTGCTGAGCACTCAGGCTGTATAATGAAGAACAAGAAAAACTTAAGGTATGGGCTGAGAAAAAGAAGCTTGAAAGATCTAGGAAGGAGCCTCCAGAGAAGATAAAAATAAGGATATGGATGTTGTTTTGGAATCCAGCAGAATCTTTTAGGGAGAAAAAGAGTATATAAAAAAGTGAAAATAATCAGTAGTGGCAAATGCTGCACTGATCAAGTAATCTAAGAGTTCAGAGTGTCTTGGATTTAGCAACTTGTAATTGGTAACCTTGATGAGATCACTTTTCATGGAGTGGTGGAATTAAAAGCCAGATTACAGTGGAGTGTCTGGAGAAGGAAAGGAAGAAATGGGGCACTTCCAGGCAGTTCTACAGTGGAAAGGAAGAAGAAAAGTTAGGGGTGGGAGAATTCACGGGAGGATATTTGTTTTTGTTTTAAAAGTGAAGAGGTCTGACTGTGTTCAAGTCCTACCATCATGGAGCTGATTGAGGTAAGGAGCCAGCGGAGGGGAAAGGGGTATCAGAGAAGACTAATCATATACAGTAGTAGTAAACGGCCCATAGATCTTAATGAATTATCACAGTAAAGGTTTTCTACTCACATTACCTGACCATTGGAGTTCACTGAAGAGTTCTCATGAGAATAAAGACCACAGAGCCTCTGCCCAGTAATTTGGACAACATTGTGAATCTCCTTTGCCAGGAGTTTACAATTATAAGCTGAAAGAATATTTGAGAATGTCCAGAGCAGGAAGGGAATAATCAAAAATCAAATACCTTGATAAGTCATAAAACCTAAAATATGTGTCAGATTCTTCAGACAGAAGGTGAGGTAAAGTGAAAAGTGATATAACTGGAAGAAGGTTAGGAAGGAGACAACCTACAGAAAAAGGCTAGATTCAGGTTTGGAATTTCAGCATTCCTGAATTCACTGCCACAGCCTTTGGGGCCTCATTGTGCAGAAAACCTCATTAAAAATAATTTGCCAAAAAACTGTTCTATATTTTTCAAGGGCTATTTCGTTTTTCAATCATCTCACCTTTTTGTGAATATAAAATTAATGTTACAAGTTGAGAACTTTTTAAGAATATTTATAATGTAAGAGATTTAAATGCTCATTGCCACCAAAATACTTCTTGCATTTTTTAACTTTTGTTTTTATCAGAACATTTGTGTTTATTAAATTGTATCTTTTAAATTTTAAGATAGGAAAAAAGAAATAACAGTATAATGCAAGGGTAGAAAGAGCACCAAAGTTTTAGTAAAGGACATAAATAATGCTTTCTTCACCAGTTATCTTAGAGCTGATTTTATGGATACATAGTAGAAAAGTGTTTGGAAGGCAAGTGGAGGGTGAGTTTAACTTTCTCTTATAGGTTTGCTGAACATACATTGTGCTGCTTTTATTTTTTAGTCATCAGGTGGTTTTGCACGTTTTCCCATGTTGATGAGGCTGCTTTTTCCTTTGCACAAAATAGAGAGCTGTAGTTCACATGGATGAACGGCGAGAAGAACAGATTGTGCAGCTGCTGCACTCAGTGCAGGCCAAGCATGATAGAGACGAAGAAGCACAGATATCCTGGTTTGCTCCCGAAGACCACGGGTAAGACAAAAAATATTCTTTTAGAAAACTGAACAGAGTGACACTTGTTTTAGAGCATTTGCTTGCAAAAAATGACAATAAATATTGTCAGACTCTTCTATAAGTGAAATTTAGCCTCAAAGTATTTTTTCTTCTTATGTAGATTGAGCAGGGTTAGTGAAAGATTTAAAAATCTAGATGGTATCCTTATTCCCACAGAAGAGTTTAATGGTAGGAATAATCTACTTACATAGGAGGCTGATGAAGTTATTATTTATTTTTCTAGCCAGCCATCATTGTATTTCCAAAATTCTCTTGTGGAGGAGATCTGTAAGAAATTGTTGTTTTAGGAAATTCATAGAAACTATCATCATCAGGGCAAATTAGAAGTAGTTTTTCTGGGACTGCATAGTGTAGCATCCCATTTGTAGCTCAAAAAGGGTAGCAGGAAGAAAATGAAGTTGTGAAATAAAACAAGGCTCAGAAAATTAGGTAAAGGAAAACAGTTAAGTCATTGTAATGAAGGAATGACTATTGGGTGGATTTTATTGTTTTAACTACCACAAGGAGTAACCTATCTGTCAGAATCTATTTGTAGGGTGGAAAAAATTGAATTTATTATAAGAACCTAAGTATTTTCATATTGTTCTACTAAGATTAAAGAATAAGGACTTGATTTTGGTGATTTTGAAATCATTAAACAGCATATTGTTTTATTTTGTTTCAGGGCTTGAGTGGATCTTTATTTAACCTTTATCATTTTTTTATTTTTTCAAAATAGATATGGTACTGAAGCTCCTGCTGAAAACAAACCAAATTCAGTAAAGAAAGTTGAGCATCAGGAAAAAAAAATGATAAATCAAGAAAAGAGGCCATTTAGAATCAGGGACAAATACATTGACCGTGATTCTGAATATCTCATTCAAGAAAATGAACCAGATGCAATTCTAGACCAACAATTATTGGAAGATTTACAAAAGAAAAAAACTGACCTTCGGTATATTGAAATGCAGGTAATGGAAAGAAAAGATTTTTACTTGTCATCTCTTCTGACACTTGATAAAAATATATTTATGGTTAGAGGTAGCTGCCTGATGTCTAGATGAGTGAGATTTCTCAACAAGCCATCCTCTGAGAATCTCCCCACCCCCACCCTATTCCTCCCTCTGACTCCAGCCTTGTCCATAGTATAGAAAAGTAGTGAGAATGGAATTACACATAAGGAGCCTGTCTCACAGTTTATATGATGAAGAGAAGAAATATTTAAGAAATGGGTAGTGCAAATGAAAAAAAAATCACTCTTTAAGATTAATATTTCTAGACTATTTTAGTGAGATGTCATAAGAGACAGGGTGGTTAGAATTGTAAAGTTGTTTTCTTCTGGAACATCTAATCCACTCTTTCCTTTTACAGATGTTAAAATTAAATCCCTCAAAAGTCATATGATGTGCTTACGCCACTGACACTTTAAAGACAGAACTGTGGCAGCTGAGTTCTCTTTTGAAGTTTTTTCAATATTTTCTTTTCCTGGACAAGGTCCCTCCTGCTAAAACATAAAATTGAATGATTTGTGGATGTTCTAGAGATAGATGTAATAAAATGTTCACTTTTTTTTTTTACGAGAAAATAGGGAATTCTGGGAGCCATGTCTTTAATGTGCAGATATGTACTGCCATTTTTGAGAAGGGCAGATCATTGTATCTCCTGTAGGAAAGAAAGGATCTTTTGGCTCAGTGAAGGTTGACTATCCTTCTTTAAACAGATCAGCTGAGGTTGTCTAGGGACCAAATGCTGTAGCTCTTTAATGCCTTTTGAGTTAAAATATGTATTAGGGACAGAGAAGATTTCAAGATGAAATTATTGAGAATACTTTACCTGACAGCTGAACTGCTTGTATAACCTTAGGAATACAGTTAGCTGCCATCTCTGCTTTGTATGGAGGACAGAACTCAGATATTATTGAAGATGAGTAATTGATCTAGTGCAGAGAAAGTCAGGAGAAGAAACGGTTGGTCTTCCTTTCGGTCAGGCGTGTTGTAAATGCTGCCTGTGTACCACATCATTTAAACCTCTCGGCCGCCCTCTGCAGGAGGTTACGTTTGCTGTTTCATGGAAGGAGAAAGAATCTCAGGTTCAGTGACCTACCTGTGCTTGCACAGGTAGTGCCAGAACCAGGTTTAAAATTTAACTGTTTTCAGGAGCTCAGCTTTTTTCATCCTTGGTAATATGCTATATATTTTTTTCCTTTAAGTTATAATTTTTTTGATAAACATTTTTCCACTTGCTTGATGCCTGTCATTGTGCTATATTTCAAGGTAAGTCTTGACACCTTACATAAGGTATGTGGTAATAAAAAATACCTTTGGACTCTTAATATGTTTATCTATGATATATTCTACTTACCAGGATTATAATTTGATTACATTTCTCTTGTAAAAAATTAAGAAAAATTTTTTTTATAATTTCAGCATTTCAGGGAAAAGCTGCCGTCGTATGGAATGCAAAAGGTAAAATTTATATACACTATTTAATATGATCTGCAAAATGCTTAAATACATTTCTTTTAAGCTCCAAATCAAGAAGAAATATAAATTAATGAAATTTTCCCTAGAGGATAGTCTTGGAAGTTCATTTTATTCTTTTGAATTGTTGAAAGACCAAAAAAAAAAAAATTTCTGAAGTAGTTTTATTGACAATTTTTTTATGTCCATGATAGAGTTTAAAAATAGAATTTTCACTTGTTTATGTTTCCTCATACAATCACCCTATATAGAATAATATAGTCTCCCATCCTTCCCTGACCTCTCAGCCTTCCTTTGTTTTGACTTTACTTTTTTAAGGACAGTCTGTTTTGGTCACTATGTACCTCTTTCTCAGAACAGTGCTTTACATTCTATAGACCCCTAGTAAATACCTTTTGAATGAATGAATCATGGTCTGCTTCTAAGTACTTCTAGCTGTTACTTTGTTGGAATTTATTCTGATATATATGAGGTATTGATAAATTTTTAAATGGTGAGTTTTCAAGTTAGACTGTTTCATAGATTAAAAATAACTCTTAATACCCTTTTGAAGTAGTGGTGGGATGGTTTTGTCAGTACTACTAATTTGAAAATATTCATGTTTATAAGAAGATCTTTCCTGAGTAGGCAGTTTTACAGATAGTACCTGAATTTTAGCCATTTGATGTAGTTATTTAAAACTTGGCTCTGTTTCAATTATTTAAAAGGGAATAGTCTTAAATTACACTCTTCTTTGTTCTCAGTATACAAAACTTGTCCTGCAGACGAAGCCATATTTTTGATTTATAACATAAATCCTTGATGTTCTGAGTAGTTTTTTTAAGGGGATTTGCCTTATATTCAATAGACCCACATGTCCACATTTATCGGTGTTAATTCTTACATGAATTTATAGGCTGTCTCCTTTTGCTTGTGTGCTTTTCTCTGACAGCCATGACTCTGCTCTTCTTAAAATTTGGTGCCTCATCTCTTGAAAACTGGTAGATCCAGATACCCAAACTGCCAGCATTGCATATAACAGAATTTTCAAGTATTAATATGCTTATTAAAAACAGTTAACCTTCAGTTCGGTAAGATTCGGGTAACTTTTCAGACTTAGTTAACATGTGATGTCTTTCACTTTTTTCTCCTTTTGAAATAGGAATTGGTAAATATGATTGATAATCATCAGGTAACAGTGATAAGTGGTGAAACCGGTTGTGGAAAAACCACTCAAGTTACTCAGTTCATTTTGGATAACTACATTGAAAGAGGAAAAGGATCTGCTTGTAGGATAGTTTGTACTCAGCCAAGAAGAATTAGTGCCATTTCAGTAAGTAATCTCTCACTTGTTAAAATTCCCAACTCTTTTTTTTTTCCTTCATTCTTCTATGTAGTCTTGCTAGAAATTACTGATTTTGAGTGTTGGGGTGATTCTTGATTAGGTTTAGGATATGTTGCTATGAAAGCAAGTATTTGGTAGTAAACACCAAGAAATTGAATGACCTCCCTCTTATTGATAAGATGTTTAGGAGTTCAAGATAAATTGCAAATCCAGGCAATTTTCTATAAAACTAAATGAAAAACTGATAATGTTTATAGAATTGATTATGAGCTTCAAATAATCTCCATCATTAGATACTTTACATTTTACTCCTTGATTCATTTAATACTGTTTTCAGCTCTCTTTTTCAGTGTATGGGTACTGAATGACAGCAATATTTCTGATTTTTTAGTGCAATTCAGTATTAGGGAATTAGTCATAGAAAAATAAGGTGTTTGGAGTTTATTTTGAAACAGGTATTAACTGCATGTTTGTTATAGATAACGTTTTTTGTTTGTGTTTAGTCAGATGACCTAGTTAAATATGAGTTGTATGTTCTGTAGAGATGTTTGGGGTCTTTCAACGTCAGGTGGACAGTACGTTTACTTCAGTGTTAGGTAACTCTGTGTAAATTTAGATGAAGCTTTCCAGTTGTATTTGATTTTATGATAGTGTTATTTATTACATCTCTAAGTCATTTTATACAGAGTCTGTGGTCAGGAACTGCATTACCAATTACAGCAATGTTTTGTAGAAATTACAGTATACGGTTAAGTTACAGTTCCTAAGAGAGAACTGTCTTAAAAAAGTAAACTTGCTGTGTCTGTGGGAGGATAATGTTCCTGGAAGTGGCATAAGTTCACAGAATGGTGAAAAATAAGCCACTTTTATTGTGACACTATTATATAGCTAGATTTTGGTTAGAAGTCTAATTTTATCGTTTTCACTAAAACATGATTGTCAGTTCCTTTGCTCAGTCGTGTCTGACACTGCAACCCCATGGACTGCAGCACACCACTATAAATTGACAGTAAGGAGAAGTGTCAATTAGGTTATTTCGTTGCTCCCCCCCCCCCCCCCCAAGATCTGTTGGTATTTAAATGGGCAGTTTAATCAACAGTATAAGTGAAGTAATGGCCTAAGTTAATGTATACAGGATATGATGATTGGGAAATTTTACTTCTGAAGTATTATTTCTTAAAAGCTAATTGTCATTTTCTGTTTCTAACCGCATAAATCACTGCTCTGTCACTAAATGACTGTTGGTTACTTTCAGTTGCACAAATCAGTATTAGTTTATAGGATTTCATCTGTCTAGAGCTTATCTTTAGCAGCCATAACTCTAAGAACTTAACTAAGAGTTAAGAATTAAGCCTGCCAATCTACAAAAAAGAATCGGATAAGAAAAAGTATCAAGTATATAATTACTCTCAAATTATATTCAACCTTTATGAGTTTAGATTAAAATTTCCAACTGTTTTTAAGACAAAGATAGAGAGGACTTACAGAAAGTTGCTTTGGAAATGGTTAGGAGGGAGGATTTCAGAGGAAATGAAAAGTAAGCATAAGCAGGTAGTCTTCAGCTCCTAAAAGACACAGTCTTAGATACCTCAGATTTTAATGTTTCTCTTATTTTAACTCTTGAAAATCTAATGAGTAGTGTTTCAACAACTCAGATTTTCAGACATTTAGGGTATTTACTCTAAAGGAAATGTTTTCTTTGTAACTATTTTATTTTAATTAAAGGTTGCAGAGCGAGTGGCTGCAGAAAGGGCGGAATCTTGTGGCAATGGTAATAGTACTGGATACCAAATTCGGCTCCAGAGGTAAAGAGTGTTCATTTGTTTTGTTTTTGGCCGTGCCAGGCAGCTTGTGAGATTTTAGTTCACTGACCAGGGATTGAACACAGGCCCTCAGCAGTGAAAGGGCTGAGTCCTAATCAGTGGACCGCCAGAGAATTTGTAAGAATATTCACTTCTTGTTTACAGGTAGATTTTAGTGAAACTTCAAAGTTATCAGAGATTTAAAAAAAAAAAAGATTTTCCCCCAAATTTTTATGCTGGTTATTGTTTTTAGAATTAACATTTGCAGTAACTGCAACATAGGCTTGCAACCCACAAAATTTTTTTTTTTTTTTAATCCAAATTCAGATTTGAATTACCATTTTAAGATGTCTTTTGATCCCTGGGTCGGGAAGATCTCCTAGAAAAGGGAATGGCTACCCACTCAGTGTCCTTGCCTGGAAAACTCCATGGACGGAGGAGCCTGGCAGGCTACAGTCTGTGGGGATCTCACGGAGCCGGACACTGAGCAGCTGCCACTTGCACTTCACTCTTTTTTCACTTTAAGATGTCTTTTACACCAGAAAATGTTCAGAAGGATAACATTTTTCCTGGCTGTGTTAGTGGACCGTCCCTCGCCTAAAGGAGTGGCCTCCTGTACGTTTTGGTGCCACCACGCAGCCTCTGACCCCTATCCCCCTGCACTGCATTTCTGTAGTCCTCTGCACCTCAAGATACTGTCTATCTTTTCAAATGAACTGATTTTCCAGTCACTAAACTGAAGTTGAGTTTCCTAAATATTTGGTCTTTTTCTGAATGGTAGGTCTTGTAGAGAAATCACTAACATTGTATTTATAACAAAAATAATGTATAATGAACTTGAAGCTAGTATTTCTCATTACTGTGCTGTAGGAGTTCTGGTAACTAAAAAATTAAGGATGAAGTTTTTCATTAAAGCCGAAGGCATTTTTTAAATTGAAGATATTCTCTTAAACGTTTGTGGTATTTAATAGTTCATTAGTAAAGAAAACCAAGAATTAATTCATGCCTTTTATTCGCAGTCGGTTGCCAAGGAAACAAGGTTCTATCTTATATTGTACAACAGGAATCATCCTTCAGTGGCTTCAGTCAGACCCGTGAGTATGTTTCAACGCAGGACATCTAGTTAAACATTATCAAAAGATGTCATTATTACATTGGATTTTATTATTATGTAAAAGTAAAATGGTTCTGTTTTTCATTTTGTGCCAAGTAGCAAACTTTATGCTTCTGTTGTAGCCATCTGTCCAGTGTTAGCCATATTGTGCTTGATGAAATCCATGAGAGAAATCTACAGTCAGATGTTTTAATGACTGTTGTTAAAGATCTTCTCAGTTGTCGATCTGACCTGAAAGTAGTATTGATGAGTGCAACATTGAATGCTGAGAAATTTTCTGAATATTTTGGTGAGTAGAATTTATGATTGTTACTTTATAGAGTTATCACAAAACCACTGAATTTAGAAGCAGTTTTTTAAAAAATGTATTCAGATGTTTAGTGATGCAAGTAGTCAATGTTTAGTGATGCATTATATTTGAATATTCATCTACCCTCTGCTGCTAAGTCACTTCAGTCGTGTCCGACTCTGTGCTACCCCATAGACGGCAGCCCACCAGGCTCCTCTGTCCCTGGGATTCTCCAGGCAAGAACACTGGAGTGAGTTGCCATTCCCTTCTCCAATCTACCCTATAGTAGTTTTTAAAACACTTATTTGTTTTTAAACTGTGTTGTGTCTGTTGCTGCACGGGCTTTTCTGTAGTTGTGGGGAGCAGGGGCTACTCTCTAGTTGTGGTGCGCAGGCTTCTCATTGCAGTGGCTTCACATTGCAGAACACAGGCTCTAGGTCCTCAGGCTTAAATAGTTAGAGTATATGAGCTCAGTAGTTGTGGCACATGAACTGCTCCAGAAGCATGTGCTGCTGCTGCTGCTGCTGCTAAATCACTTTAATCGTGTCCGACTCCGTGCGACCTCGTAGACGGCAGCCCACCAGGCTCCTCTGTCCATGGGATTTTCCAGGCAAACCCGCTGGAGTGGGTTGCTGTTGCCTTCTCTGCCAGAAGCATGTGGGATCCTCCCATACCAGGACTGAACCCATGTCTTCTGCATTGGCAGGCAGATTCTTTACCACTGAGCTACCACGGAAGCCCTGTCTAGTAGTTTTTTAAATGGTGGCATCGTCTCTGGTCTTGTAGTGAAGAGATGTAGCCTTTTGGTGCTACCACCAGATAATTAAGGTGACATTAATGAAGTCAAACCACAGATTTGAAAATTTTATTTACTTTTTTTGATAGTCTTCTGTAGCTTTTATGTAGTATATCAGGCTAAAGTGGCAGTTTGCTAATAACAGTGGTAATTAGCGATAACTGTGATATCAGTGATAACTGTGGAATACCTTCAACTTGCTGGGTGGTGTATTTGGCCTATCTTCATTAATGCTCATTGATACCTTGTGAAGTAGGTGCTATTATTCTCATTGTTACAAATGGAAAACAACCTCAGAGTAGTTAAGTAGCTTACCCAAGGTTGCATAATTAACAGAGGGTCGGGATGATTTGAAACTAAGCTTGAGGGAATTCCCTGGGAGTCCAGTGGTTAGGACTTAGTGCTCTCACTGCGGGGGCCTGGGTTCGATCCCTGGTCAGGGAACTAAGATCCCACAGGCTGCACGGAGTAACCAAGAAATAAAAGAGAACCTAAATTTGGGTAGATGCAGAGTACATTCTTTTAAAATTATGCCTCACTGTCTCTACTGCTTAAATTGTTTGGGGAAGGAGGAGAAATGGGAGGATGTTCAAATGGAATAGCACTGTATTTAATGCGTGTGTAATCAGCCCAGTTGACCCTCAGAGCCTTCCTTTTTGTCTCTGTCTCAGTCCTTTTGATGAGAAATCCAGAGCTGACACTGTGTAAACATGCGCAGGTCAGAGGCATAAGTGTCCTCAGAGCTGTGGAGCCGCTTCAGTTGCTCCCCTCGGTGCTGGGACTTTGGCCTTTGTTTACAGGCGGTATGGTTTATTTTGTTTGGAGCAGAACCTAAATAACATTTAAATAACAGTACTGAGAGGCTTCTTTTTTAACTAGTGATTCTAAAATAGTAAGCAGTAGTTTAATAGTTCGTTAGTTCTTGCTGTAACTACTCCTTTCTTTCCCTAATTCTGGATGCCACAGAGGTCATGTTCCTTATGTAGATTTCACTAAAACTTAGGTTCTCATGTCACCATCTTGGCTAATGATGAAGAGAAATAGACTTAATAGGTCCTGAATCCAACTTACAATATGCTTTTTTTTTGGTATTCTGGGTTACTTTGTAGAACTGTGAGGTGTGTATACAGTTTGGTAACAGTAAATTGCTACTGAATGAAGACTTAAACTGTTGTTTTTATTAAGTGAGATATGGAAAAATAAGGTATTGTTGTAAAAGTTTCAGGACCCTTTTCTGAAGTTAAAACTAATTTAATCATTTTCCTATTTATAGTTGATTTTTTTTCTTTAACATTTGAATACAGATTTATGTTTTATCTACCATAATAGGTAACTGTCCAATGATACATATACCTGGCTTTACTTTTCCGGTTGTGGAGTATCTTTTGGAAGATATAATTGAAAAAATAAGGTAAGTAAATATTAGAAAGTAAAAGATTAAAAGTACTAATATACTTTAGTATATTAGTATCACCATTTTGTCAAACTTTAGTCTAAGAAGCTCATCCTTAACTATTTTCTTTCTAAAACATTGTTTTTCTTTAAATCAGGGATTCCCAAACTTGGTTGCACATTGAAATCACCTGGAGTCTTTGAAAATCCACATTGACACTCACACCATGTTATATTGCAGAGCCTGGGCTGGAGCCACACATCAGTATTGTCTAAAGACTCCTGGGCAGAAAAGTTTGGGAATCTCTGTCTTTAGTGTTGAACTTCTCTTCTGATTCTCCTGCCTGGTATTCATTCTCCTTTGCTGGCCTCTGTTTCCTACCTTTTAAATATGATATTCCCCTAGAGTTCTCACCTTAGATGTTTCTCAGCCTTTTATGATTTCACTGTGCAATCCTATTTCCATGACCATAGTTCCTAATTTTCAGAACTGTTTTCCTATAGCTTTCAGAACTATGGTTTCAAGACTGAATTCTTCCTGAATTCTAAACTTATCTAAATCTATAAGCAGCATTCCAGTATCACAGATTCTTGAACTTTATGATTTTTCAAACAAAAATCATCATCTTATATTTGATTCCCACTGTGCTTCCACCAAAAAAATTAAAATAATCTGTGTTGCTTACTATGCTTTATAATGGTTGCTCCTGTTGTCCTCCACCTGGTTGTTTAAACTCTAAATCAGAGTAGCTGGTGTTTCAAGCAGTTATGTTCTAGGATACATTAACTGCTTTACATGCTTAGTAACCAAAGTACTGTAAGTCGTTCTGTATCCCGTCCCACTTTCCCCCATGAAAACCCTGAGAGCTTTCTCCTTGAACATACCTTCTTGTTTCTGTTTCTTCTACTTAAGGTCCTTATTATCTCTCCTATGTTAGTGTAAGAGTTTCTCTGGGCACTGTGGTCTTCACTCTCACAGATGCTGGCCATCTGTTTTCCCCAAAACTCTGCTCATGTGAGCTTTCTTCCCTAGGGTATACCCCTTGAGATTTCTCTTTGAAAACTAGTTGAAGACTCTTTGCTGGTTTGTCTTGGCCTAGAGTGGAGCACCTCAGCTGGTATGCCCAAGTTACAGTCCTGTTCACGCTGGCCTTTAGCTGCTAGCAGGTTTCTCGAGGAGCCATCAAAATTACCTTAGTATCACTTTATGAGAGAGGGCTGAAGGCACCGACCCACAGAATCAGGGTCCAGCTTCTTAGCCTGTCACCCCAAGGCTCTTTACAGTCTGGCCCTGTCTGTCCAGTGGCATACATTCCTCATGCCGCTTCTCTTAGGCACTGTCTCTTCTATGCCACCTTGTGCTCTTTCTTTCATGACTTTATGCTTTGTTACATGCTGTTTCCTCCTTTCAGTTACATTTGCCACCTTCTCCCCTTTTCATCTGTAAAGTATCATGTAAGAACAAATCCCTGCCCATTCAGCCTTCTCTGATACCTCTCACAGTGAGTTACCTTCTCAGCAAGACTGCCAGAGCACTTCTATCATATCTCTTGTACTAATGTCTCTTGCACTAGATTTCAAATTTTCAAAGTGGAAGATTTTGTCCTATGCATCTTTGTAACTAGTACATAGCACAGTACCTGGCCTATAGTAAACATCTGAAAACTAAATGGACAGGTGTAGAAACATTTATGCTGAGATTTTTCAAGACTCCACAGCTTACTTGTTAAAGGAGAAAACCAGAAAGTGATAGTGGGAAGGTGAGAACAAAGATCCTACTGCATACTCTACATGGAGAAAAGTCATCTGAATTTTGAATGGACATTTGTATAACATATTTTTGAAATTTTATGGCTTGCACTGTGCACTAAGATCTGAAAGAAAACAAGGGAATGACTCATTACACAGCTTCGGAGCTTGTGTCTAGATAGGGACACGTACAGGCTGTTACTCTCAAGGAGTATACTCTGGTCATACTCACATGACCAGAGTTTTGGGGAAAATAGATGGCAGCGTTTGTGAGAGTGAAGACCACAGTGCCCACAGAGAAACTCTTACACTAACATGGGAGAGATAATAAGGACCTTAAGTAGAAGAAATAAAAACAAGACGATATGTTCCAGGAGAAAGCCCTCAGGGTTTTCATGGGGGAAAGTGGGACGGGACACAGAATGGCTTACGGTACTTTGGTTACTGTTCTGGGTAAGTGAAGAGTGTGTAAGGCAGGGATAGCCTGGACAACTCAGGAGAGCAGTGAGGTCAGCAGGGCAAGGAGGGAAGTGTGTGTCAGGGAGGAACGAGTTAAAGTGAAAGAGGGTATGTTGGTCTTCCATGCTCTGGTTATATCATCAGTGCTCATAAGTTTTTATGCTCTCCCTCCTCAGTTCCACTTTCAACCGTGTGTCCCCATTTCTTACCATAGCACATTCGCCAGTTGTTTTCTGAGGTAATAACAGGCAACAGCCTGACAGTAGAAACAAAGATTCAGGGATCAGTATCTAACATGACATAAAGATGAATTGCTTTCTTAAGGTCTCCAGAAGGCAGTGAATGTGCACGGAATTGTAGTTAAGGGGTGTCTCTTGAAGCAACAGATGGTATCTGTGCACTTGTTCTGTAGCCAGCGCAAGAGGAGAGGTGAAGTAGGGTGGTCATTGGATAGAAGTTTTCAGCAGAGGCCCCAGCTATTCCTTTTCCAGAGGAAGAGCTGTTCTGCAGAGGAGTAGGAAAGAAAATAGGTGAGATACTGTGCTGGGTTGTGATTGGGTCCTTGGGGAGGGGCTGAAGGTTACCTCTGGTCCTGTGATTTCTGGGAAGGGGGCCAGCTATGGGTCCATCCTGCTGACTAGATTAATCTCTGACTCAGGTTGCCCTGCCTCACGCTGGCGCCTCTATATGTATCGAAGACTTAGGGGAGTCCTGGGTCACAGGTACTGAATAGGGAAGGGGATTGATGAACTCTTTGGGGTGTCTACTATGTGTGAGGCACTGTGCTTTATCCCTTTATCCCTTCTTTTTCATTCTCATGTCAGTACTTAAAAGAGTATTAATCTCTCAAATAAGAAAACTCAAAGCCAGAGGCTTATACCTTGTCCAAGGTCACATAGCTAGTCAGTGGCAGAGCACGGACGTCAGTCCCATCGGTCTGACTCACAAAGCCCATGCTTCACCCCCCCCATTCTGTCAGATGCTCTCATCTAGGTGAGCTCCGAGGGGCTTTGCGGTGAAAGTACAGGTTTATTTTTCTTTGTCTCTCTGCACTCCCATGCCTCACACCTCACTTACGGTAGGTGACATGCACTGCAGTATGGTGAAGTCAAAGCGTAGCACTGGACTGACTTGTAAGCCCTCTGAATGCTGATTCTGGCTCTGCCATTGTCTGTCTGAGACTGAGCAGAACTAAGTAGTTCTCGAGCACGAGTCTACTTATCTACAGACCATGTTATAACTACACTGTCTGAATCTCCTGGGGCACTAAATAAAATTGCTGGAAGAGCAGACCCCAGCCAGACCTGCTGTATTCACATCACAAGGTATAGGATTGAGGAATCTGTTTCATAAACTCCCCAGGGAATTATTTGTGCCCGTGTTTAGAAACCTCCTATATTCAAAATCTGAGTCTTCTAGGCAATTGTTAACTATTATTGTGGACCTATATTAATGTTGACTTTTGATATAAAAGTAAATTCAAAGTTATAGATGGTAGTTACTCTACCACTTAAATTTTCATTGCTTAAGATTATTTAGAGCTTTTACATACTTTGATAAAGAATGATTTTAATCTAAAATGTTGTGTGTTCATATTTGTAAATAAATTTAACTAGCATTTACTAGAAAGTATCGTGAAGATGTTCTTTAAAATTTCTTTTTAGAATCCTAAAAAGTCAGAGATATTAGTGAAAACCAATTTTAAATAAAGTGAAGCTATTTAAGAGTATTTTTATTTTAGATATGTTCCAGAACAAAAAGAACACAGATCCCAATTTAAGAAAGGTTTCCTGCAAGGGCATGTGAATAGACAAGAAAAAGAAGAAAAAGAAGCAATCTATAAAGAACGCTGGCCAGGTTATCTAAGGGAATTGAGACAAAGGTAAGTCTGTTTTTGTTTGAAAGTGAGAACATAGTAGCTGAATGACTGAAACAAGATGCAGGTTTGTCTTGACTTTGGATGTATTTAAGGGTAGCCATGTTGTTTAGTCTCGCAGTGGAGTCCACCTCTTGTTATTTAGTCACTTAATGTAGCCTGCTAGGCCTCTCTGTCCCTGGGGTTTCCCAGGCGAGAATACTGGAGTGTCATCTACATTGGCAGGCGGCTTCTTTACTGCTGAGCCACCAGAGAAGCCCTGAGGATAACATTTTGAGTCTCATGTTCTAGCTGGATACTTCACTGATTTGACTTGTAAGCACTGTCATAATCTCAATATTTATTTTTTTTAATATTTCTCTTTATGTATTATGTTTTCCCATTTGCAGGTTGAGTTAATTTTAAACTTTTATGGCTAAGGTAAACGTCAGGAAACTGCCAGGTGTCTCATGACTTCATATTTGACTTGACAGGTATTCTGCAAGCACTGTAGATGTTGTAGGAATGATGGATGATGAGAAAGTTGATCTGAATTTGATTGCTGCCCTTATTCGATACATTGTTTTGGAAGAAGAGGTTAGTTTTGTTTAATTTTCAAAAGTGAAACATTTCAATTTCATGTCAAGGACTTGAAAAAATATTTTTTCTTAAATGCTTTTAAAAAAAATAATCTTTGGAAGAAATGGCTTTTGATACCAGGAGCAAGAATTTCAAAAAACCAAATGATTTAGCAGTTTGACCTGTTTGAAGAAAAGACTCAAGAAACGAAATGTCTGGATTATAAATCCTATTTTTTAAAAGGGAACTTTAGTTCACTTTTTCTTTAGTTATAATTAGTAGCTAAAAGTCATCTTGAGCTAATATAATTTTAATGAAGACTTAATTGTGCACAGAATTATACTCTTATTGTATTTTATTATGTGATCCTTTGTAACAATTATTTCCCCTCTGCATAGGATGGTGCAATATTGGTCTTTCTACCAGGCTGGGACAACATCAGCACGTTACATGATCTCTTGATGTCACAAGTGATGTTTAAATCAGGTATTTTAGAAATGTATTTTATTGCCATTCTAAGAATGGTACTTGAGTTGTGTGTAGCCTGGTTATTTTCTTTCATTTGAGCTTATTAGTCCAAGTTGAGTTTTTTCAAAAGTTGGATTTTTTTTTCCCCCCTGAAGTTCTGCGTCAGAGATGAAGATGGTAGATACATAGTGAAGTTCCTTATTTATAGTTTTATGGTGAGACTGTTCTCCTCTCTGCCTAAATTTGCCCAATAAAATTGAGTCTTTGGCATCTAAGGTTTTTGTTTCTTCACTCACTTCTGCATTTAGTTGGGCAGAAAAGAAGTTTGAATTTTCCTCTTAAGCCAGTATTTCTCAGCTCTAACTGTACAACAGAGTCACTCATGGCACTTCTTTTAAAATGCAGACCCAGATCGCATCCTCACAACAAATATTAGAATGTGACCTGCCAAATGTTAGAATGTGACCTGAATATCTGAAGTTTAAAAAAAAAAAAATTCTCAGATGATCTGATTGTTTAATAGGATGTTTTGAAACATACAACCTCTTACGTTTTAGAGAAATGCATTGGAACATTTTTCTACTGTGAAATTAAGTTATAGCTTTTTCCGGAGTCACTGTTAACTTTAGTAAAAATCAAAGCAAATTCCATTTAAATGTATTTTAAATAGTTCTGAATATGCTTCCTAGCCTTACTCTGTTGAAGTGCTTTGATACATTTTATTTTTTTAAAACACTGAAAAATATTTTGATCTAATTTTATTGGCTAAAATACTTTTTAAATCCCATCATGGTAATGCCCTCAAATCGTTCACTATAATTAAAATTATTTTCTGTTCTCTCACTGCAAAAATATTTTTGTCTGATTACCATGACTTCTCTATAATGAAATACTGCTTTATGTTTTCCTCATCATTGGTAACTTCTGTATAGAAAAGGTATAGGTTGTGATTAAACTATACAACCATATATATTTTTTAAAAACAGAAATACTTCTCTGGCTGAACCTTCCAGCTTTGGCATTTCCTTCCCCCATCATAAACTCTATTATATGATCTACTTTTAGTTTTAAAAATGTGAGTGTGTATGTATTTTCCAAGTAAATGTAGAGATCATTTTGGAGGAAATAGGGAAAGGGTGTGATATTAAAGATTATTATAATTGACTTCATTAGCTTTCTGATTTAATTATACTCAGGGATGGAAGGATTATAGTTCCACCACCAGCTTCAGTTCAGTTCAGTCATATCTGAGTCATGTCTGACTCTTTGCAACCCCATGGACTGCAGCATGCCAGGCTTCCCTGTCTAAACACCTGGAGCTTGCTCAAACTCATGTCCATCGAGTAGGTGATGCCATCCAACCATGTCATCCTCTGCCGTCCCCTTCTCCTGCCTTCAGTCTTTCTCAGCATCAGGGTCTTTTCCAGTGAGTCAGTTCTTTGCATCAGGTGGCCAAAGTATAACCACCAGCTTAATTTTTTTTTTTAAAGAAAATCTTTCAAAAATTAAACATTCCTAATCTTTATCATCATCTGATAACCCAGTCCATAATCAGATTTTCCCATTTTTTTCCCCCAAAGTATCTTTCACAACAAGCTTGCTCAGACTGTAGACAAAGTCAGACTGATAAATCGTTTAGTTTTAGAATGTCACTCCCATCTTCCCTTCTTTCCCCATAGTGGAAAAAACTAGGTTCTACTTTCTGGAGATGTCTAAACCTTTATAGTATCATTTCATTTGATCATCTTTTAATCCTGTTTTCCTGCCAACTGGAAGTTATATCTGAAGGCTTGATTCAGTTTAATTAACTTGATTGAGTTAAGTTAGAGTGGATGTATTTCATACTGTGTCACAGAGATAAGTAGTCGAAGGCATTCTTTCTCAAGCACTATTTGACAGCTTTTTACAGTTTAGAAGGGTCATAGAGGCTGTGGGAAGCACTATATCTCCTGAATAACAGCAGTTCTTTTTTTGGAAAATACAACTACCTAGGGTCTTCTGGACATTCTTGTTAGAGATTTAAGTTAGGTTGCACTTTGGTAGCTATATCTGGCTGAAATTTACCCTTGCTTCTGTAACACACTCTCCTTCCCATTACAGTACTATGTCAAACTGTTGACTGATAATCATGAATGGGCTTGAGCAACTTCATTTTGAAACTTAAAACTTCCTATATTCCTCAAAAATTATTTTTTAATGTGGGCGACTTTTGGAATATATTACATTTTACCAGTGCTATTTCATTATTTTTAAGTGGACGTGGGAATTTAATAAGTAATTTGCTTTTAAATTTTCTTTGATTAAAGTAGGATTACCTAAAGTCTACAAACGTATTCACCCATATTAAATAAAATCCTTTGATCTTTAGTTAGTGGTGGGAATGGAGTTAATGTTTTGTTTTGTATTTTTTTTTATATAATTTGAAAAGGTTGCTACCCACTTTTCAGCATTGTATAAGAATTTAGAATTTGCAGAAAAAAATATTAACAAGAATATAAAATGTATATACTTGGTCTGGTTGTACATAGGATATAAATTAAGAATTAATGTGACTCAGCATCTGAACTTACTGTTCCATGTAATTTTTATGGAATTTTCTGCAGCTGTTTATCTTAAAGTTTAATTTTCTTCTTAATTTTCAGACAAGTTTATTATTATACCTTTACATTCTCTGATGCCTACAGTTAACCAGACACAGGTATGTTGTTAAATTTCTCTCTCAAACTGAGGCAAGCTTTAAGGATTGCTTACTGTATGTTTTGTTTTCTTTTATTTTTGAAAGCACATTTTAAAATAGTAATCCATACAGAAAATAACTTCTTTGAGAACCTTTGCAAATGAGTCTTCAGGGAATGACTGTACAAAAATTTAGATAAGAGAGGGTAATCCACGAATCACATTAGTTTCATCAGCATTAGGGAAACATTTAAAGGTTGCTTTCATTAATAGCTTTTTGGGTTTCCTGAATAAAATAAAAAGATATGTGAAAACCAATAAAAATAATTCAATCTAGGAGTGAATAATCTATGACATACAGAGTTTGATACTGAGATTTTGATTTAACAGAATTAGTACATTTGTAGGCATGAGGTTTCAGTGATGTATTATTAATCATGGTTTTGGATGTTTTGACTTTGTCAGATTCAGGGATCTCTAGTTAGAAGGAACAGTGCATTCCCAAAGGAAAGGTAATTTCCTACTGTGTTTACAGGCCCTGGTAGAATGAGATGGATCCATTTTTCCACTCTCTGTAAGAAATAATACAGATAATTTTAATTGAGAGCGTTTTACTGTCTCCGCTGGTGTGACGGTTCTGAGTAAGGCTCGGCTAGCTGGAGTGGGTACAGTGTGCGTGTCTGAGGAAGAGAAGAGGAAAGACGGAGCGCTTGATCCCGAAGACTGAACAGAGGAGTATCTGGTGTGGAAGTACTTCCATCGCTCATGCCCTAACTGTAAAATATTGAGGTTAAAATTTACTAGAGGATATGTGACTAGACTGGCAAGCATCATTTTCTCTTATTACCATTTTTGTAAATGAGACAAGTTTATGCTGGTTTCTTTTTTTTTTTTTTTTTTGCTTTTTTGCTTTTCAGCCAAGTGGTGTTTACTATCCTGGTGAAGGATTTATTATGTGAAGGGGATTTTTTTAAGTCCATTTCAGTCTCAGTAGCTGGTATACGGAGAAGGCAATGGCACCCCACTCCAGTACTCTTGTCTGGAAAATCCCATGGACGGAGGAGCCTGGTGGGCCACAGTCCATGGGGGTCGCTAAAAGTCGGACACGACTGAGCGACTTCACTTTCACTTTTCACTTTCATGCATTGGAGAAGGAAATGGTGGCCCACTCCAGCGTTCGTGCCTGGAGAATCCCAGGGACGGGGGAGCCTGGTGGGCTGCCGTCTGTGGGGTCGCACAGAGCCGGACACGACTGAGGCGACGCAGCAGCAGCAGCCGGTGTACAGTGGTGCAGCCGGCGTACAGTGGGGCAGCCGGTGTATAGTGGAGCAGCCGGCGCACAGTGGGGCAGCCGGTGTACAGTGGAGCAGCCGGCGCACAGTGGAGCAGCCGGCGCACAGTGGAGCAGCTGGCTGGCGTTCATTCTGGTGACTGGGCACGTGCCTTGTTGGTAGCTGTCATCTGTATGTCTGCATGCTCAGTTAATCAGTCATGACTGACTCTTTGCAACCCCGTGGACTGTAGTCCGCCAGGTTCCTCTGTCCATGGAATTTTCCAGACAAGAACACTGGAGTGGGTTGTCATTTTCTACTCCAGGGGAATCCTCCCAACCCAGGGATCAAACCCTGCATCTCTTGTGTATCCCCCATCAGCAGGTAGATTCTTTACCACTGAGCCACCTGGGAAGCCCTGTTTTTGTTTGTATAGTTTTTAAGTAATTCATAATTCTTTACACTGCTGTCCCTCTCCCTTAAAAAGTTTGACAGCACAGTAAAATGTTTGCATTCTGCAGCATTTGTTAAAAATTATTTTAAGTTTATTTAAATATAAAATTAATAATTTTGTATACCACTTAAATATCTGTAAATTAAAATAATCTTTAAATTATAACCTTTCATTTGAAATCTTGTTTGTGATAGGGTTTTGATATCTATGGGAGATTTGGTTTACCAAAAGGGAATTTTGTGATGATGAAGATGATGTATAAGATATAAATATATCTATAAATATTAGATGCATATGTCAGTGAATGAAAAAAATTGCTAAAAGTGAACAGTACTTGAAGTAATTACTTTAATTGCAAGAATGGATGTATCAGAAATTCACTCTTGGGATTTTGATGTATGTATTCTTGCAGGTGTTTAAGAGAACTCCTCCTGGTGTTCGGAAAATAGTTATCGCTACCAACATTGCAGAGACTAGGTAAAACTTGTTTTTTAATTACCAGCTACTAATGATTACATTTGTTTTCAGCGCCATAATAGTTAACGTACCTTAATCTTTTTTCTACAAAATACTTTGTGATTTCTTTAAACCTATTTTAATTTAGTTGCAGTGAACATGGGTTTTTGTTTTTGTTTTTTTTAAAAACCTGTACTAATGTTTTAGCCTCCTCAGAAATAGGCTTTTAAGTGATTGTTTTAAAGCTTCCCTAAAGAAGCATGGGGACTGAGGTCAGTACTTCTGGTTGGGAGTAGAATTTATAGAACTGATTGATTGATTGGTAATCAGTTTTATATATATATATATACATGTATATATATACATGTATATGTATATATATATATATATACATGTATATATATATACTCTTTAAAACTCTTCCATTGGAGGTACTAATATACAAGTACAGTCATTGCAACAGATTGTTGTGCAGAAGCTGGTGTTAAATCATGGCACTGGAGGCCTCACAAAGCTAGTTACAGAAGTCCTCAGTCTAGCTGTGAAGTTAGACTGAGAGCAGATAAGAGTTGTGCACATGATCTGTAAAAAGGGCCCTGTGTGCTGCTACTGAAGCTGCTGATATCGCCTGTGATGTGGTGTCTGATCCCCATTTGTAAATGTGGAAGAGTGGTGAAAATCCTGAACTACTGAAATCAAGTTGATTCAATAAAAAGTGTTTTAAGATCCCTATCTGTAGATCTGGTATAGGCTAATATGCTTTAAATGTGTTTTTAACAATTTTTACGTATTTGTTTTCCAAACAGCATCACCATTGATGATGTAGTGTATGTAATAGATGGAGGAAAAATAAAGGAGACGCATTTTGATACTCAGAACAGCATCAGCACAATGTCTGCTGAGTGGGTCAGCAGAGCGAACGCCAAGCAGAGGAGAGGCCGAGCTGGGAGGTAAGGTCGTACCTTTGAAGCCTTGACAAAAACACCAAAAATTTTGTGTGCCAAATTTATATAAGGAATGTCCCTTTTATCTTTTTAAAAACTTACTGCAGCATGTTTTTAGATGGGGGAGTCATTTTAATCATAGTTGTTTTGGAAAAAGTATCTGTCAGGTTTTTTATTTTATGATTTTTCTACCTCTGATTCCTCAGTCTGGTTAATTAAAGTTAATGTTCTTTATCTTATTAGCTTTATTATCTGTGATTGTGTTTTCTTTTTTAAAAAACATATTACTAATAATGATTACTGTTAATAATACTTGAATGTCAGATCATCCTCTAGACACCATACACATTAACTTGCTTAATCGTCCCCACAGTGCTGTGAAGTAGGTTATTATCTCTATTTTGAGGGTAAAGAAACTAAGGTATAGAGAAATAAAGTCATCTAAAGTCATCTCTCCAAAGTCATACATCGTTAGAAGTAGCAGAGCCAGGAATTTGAATTTAGGTAGTTTGGTTCCACAGCCTGGGCTCCTAATCACTATACTTCACAGCTGTACTGGTTTTTCACTATGAGTTAACCAAGGAAAGTACTTTTTCCCACTTATGTGATAGCATAAGAAATAAAAATACCTTTTTCTTTTTTGGTTGCCCATGGTCTTTTTTGTGGTGAGCAAGAGCTGCTCTTCGCTGAAGTGCATGCGCTTCTCATTGTGATGGTTTCTCTTGTTGGGGAGCACAAGCTTTAGATGCACGTGGTTGAGGAATTGTGGCGTGTGGGCTCTAGCGTGCAATCTCAGTAGTTGTGCACAGGCTTAGTTCTTCTGCAGCTTGTGGGATCTTCTTCGACCCAGGGATCGAACCTCTATCTTCTGCATTAGTAGGCAGATCATTATTCACTGTACCACCAGGGAAGTCCAAAACCTCTGTTTTAATGATCGGAGAAAAGATTTGCCTGTAACACAAATAATTGCACTTATTACTTGTTTTAATGTATACTCCAGAGTATTTTACACCATAACTCATACGAGTGATAGAATCATGTCTGGAGTTTGAAGAGTTTTTATTTTACCTCTTACATGTAGAATAAAAAGATTTCCCTCAATTTTCAGATTGTGGCTTAAGGAAAGAAGAGTTGAAAAAAAATTTGACAGGCCATTTATCAGCCTTTTAATAAGTTTATACTATATATTTAAAGCTGTGACTCACTTGTTATAATGTTTGCAGATTATTCCAGTATAATTTACTTCAGGTGGTTTATTGGATTATGCAGTTGGTGCTCTTGACTCATACTCCTGACTTAGTCCAAGAAGTGCACCTTCTACTCTATTAAGAGGGGATAATTTGATTGGGAGCCTAGCAAGATTAGGGTTTCCCCATGCAGACCAGTCAGTAAATGTAAAGTATTGCATTTGATAGAATTCTTCAGCCCCACTAACCTGCTGAAAGTTAATTGTGGAATTGCAGCGTTTTGCTGATGTTTTGTCTTTAATTGAAGTATAGCTGTTTACAGTGTTGTTTTAGTTCTGGTGTACCGCACAGTGGTTCAGCTTTTCCGTATATATATATAGTATTTTAATTCAAATGGAAAATAGTCCCTGTGGGCTCTGTGATACAAATTTCCTTTAGCAAAGCTAATTAAGATTGATCATTATTTTGAAGGCCAGTGCAAACTGTATTTATTATATGGTCCTTGGTGGAGATCCTATAGATAATGGGTCCTCTAAGCCACCACATAAGCCCATCATTCAGATCAGTAGATGCAAATAAGGAAAAAAATGTTTCCAACATCTTTCTGAGAGCTCGCTAGATAGCACATACCTAAGAGCTTTTAAAATAATACAGACGGGCTGGCATAATACAGGGTTTGTTACAGGAAATGATCACAAGGCCCAAAGAGATTAACCTGTGTATACTGCTGATTGTGTGTCTACCAGTCTGGAATCTGTAAGAAATAGGTAACCAAATTATTGGTAGGAGGGAACCTTGTCTTTTTTAGAACTAGGATTTAGGATTAGTGGATTTAAGCTTATTCAGAACAGATGAGGAAAAGGAATATATGAATAACAATGAGGTAACAAGTAGTTATGATGTGGCTTGTAAGAAATAGATATTGACTGCTCTCCCTGCCTTTTCTTTTCTCTGGAATTCTAAAAAGTCACTGATAATACTTACCCCCATCCCCCCCCCCCCCCACCTTGTTGTTGGTTTTTTTTTTCTTTTTAAAGAGTTCAACCTGGTCAATGCTATCATCTATATAACGGTCTTAGAGCCAGCCTTCTAGATGACTATCAACTGCCAGAAATTTTAAGAACGCCTTTGGAAGAACTTTGTTTACAGATAAAGGTAAATTAAGTGGGAGAATTAAATAAGGTTCTAGTTTTCCACATGTTTTATAGAGGAAAGTAATATATTAATCTGCCAGAAAGAATTTAGACCACCATTTGTTTTTGTGTTAGTACAGTTTGACCCCTGAGCAGCCTGAGGGTTAGACTTGCCAGTTATCCCTTCTCTGCCTCAGAAATTGAAACAGCTTGGTTAGAATCAGGACTCAAACCCTAGTTCTGTTGATTCTACATGTTCTGCTTGCTGATTGAACACAAACTTTCCCCTGCATTTAGTTAATTTAAAGGTCTGTAAAATGAAAATGCAAGTACTATATTTATTGAAAAAAAATCTGCATAGACATGAACCCATGCAGTTCAAAATTGATAAACTGTAAACTGTTTTTAAGCTTCTGTCCCGTGTATATTAAACAGTTTTTAATTACATAATGCTCTAGAGCCAGACTATCTGGGATTGAATCCCAAGTCCTGTGGCAAGCTAGTTCTTTTATATTAGGCAAGTTATTTAAATTAACTTCGTGAAATTCTTAGAACAGTGCCTGGCACTTGGGAATTGTTCAGTAAATCTTAGGTACTGTCACTACATCTTAAGATTCCCTCATTATAAACTACTTAGCTTTTTTTTTTAGCATCATATATTTGATAAAATTAGCCACCTTATTTTGAAGATAATCAGTAATCAAACTTGTTGAGATTTTAACCAGCTACTTTTCTCATTAATAGAGTTACTGGGTGTTGAAAGTAGTATGTTGGCCTTTAAACATTTAGAATCACAAACATAATTGTAACTTATTCTGGTAAAATAACTAACTGGAAAATTGTGTATAGGTTTGATGCTTTATTCAAGTGAGTGACACGGGGAAGACTAAACTCTGTCCATATATGACATGTTTACTTATATTTGTCTCCCCCCAGATTTTAAGACTAGGTGGAATTGCTTACTTTCTTAGTAGGCTAATGGATCCACCATCGAATGAAGCAGTGTTACTCTCCATAAAACACCTGATGGAACTGGTAAATTTGTTTTGTTTTTCGATAAATTCTAACTTAGATTTAGAGTGTTTAAGTAAAGCAAGCTAATTACCAAAATTTACCCTTGATTACTGCAAAGTAGGCCAATGAGTGTGCAGGACCAAATTGATTCACTATTTGGCTGTTCAGCTTTAAGTATGAAATAAGTTATCAAATGATACTGTTGTGATTTTCTTATCATACTGGGCTCTTTCCGCACAAGTTTTTTCATTGTAGGCATGACTTAAAATTACATAAAAATTTTGAAATCTTTCCATTTCAATCTTTTAAAACTTTCGAATCTTTCAGTTTCCTGTTTTGATTCTCTTCACTTATATTCTTGAAAGGAATTTGGCCGCTGTATTCTGTTCTTTCTGATTTTCATAGTTTTTTATAGCTTTGTCAAATGTAAGCAACTTAATGACAGTATGGACATCTTATAAAGGCAGCTCTTCTGTTTTTGAAGGAATGCTAGCAGGTGACTTTCCCAGAATAGATCCCGCTACCTCTCATTGTTTTTCTTAACAGCTTTTGCCTTAGTTTATTTTATGAAGTCAGTGTTTTGAGGAACAGGTTTCATTGTCTCAGGTGCCCACTTAGTTGGTAGTCATCCCTATACAAGACCACGTTGAGAAGCCTCACACGACTGGCTGTAAGTTAGTGCCCAAAATAGAAAAAAAGAACAGAACTGTGCTGTCCAATTCAGTATCCACTAGCCACAGGTGACTATTTAGTTTTGAATTAAATTACAAATTCAGTATCTTGGTCATACTCACACATTTTAGAAGTTGAATGGGGCCAGTAGTTACTGCATGAACAGTGCAGAAATGACATTCCATCAGTGCTGCAAGTTCTGTTGATTAGTGGTGGGTTAGAGGATGCTGATGGGTGTATTTTACATATTTATTTATTTATATTTTTGAGCCATATGTGTAGATAGTTTTGAGAATTTGGTCCATGTGAAAACATTGAAATAAACTTGTGAGTAATAAGTTGTTTAAATGAAAAGTATTGTAACTGATCTGACCACTTTTGTTTGAATTTGGATTAGATTAGTGAGATTGCTGATATTTTAGGGAACAGTGTGGTTTTACTGACTTTAAAATTAAAGTCTTCCCCTCCAGATTTTTCTCTAATAGAACAGCAATAGAGAGTTAGGTGGTGATCAGAGAATCAACTTAATTGTGGTAGAGACAAATGACCAGAGGACAGCTGGAGTCTGAAGCCAGAGTGGGGTGATTTCCTTTATCCTGACTGAATTTAAGAACCAGTCTTTACTGATCCATTTACAGGCAACAAAACTGTGAAAAGGCCTGGGACATCCTTGCCAACAGTAGGGTCTGAAGCCTGCATTTTGAAAAAACTTTTTTATTGTGCAATGCAGAATGCCCATCCAGGATAAAAGAGCAAAACAAAAACCATCCAGCTTAATGATTTACTACACAGAGTGACCACTGTTATTTTTATTCATGTCAAGAAGTTAAGAACATCTCTGGGATACTAAAAGGCCACTGCCTACCCTCTCCCATCACTCCCTGAGTCTCAAAAATAACATCTATCATAACTCTTTAATGGTAGTCTCTTGCTTTTCTTGATGATTTTACCAACCAGAATACACCTCTATAAAGAGCTTGATTTAATTTGATCCTTCATAAACTTTACAGAAATCCACATAGGATGTTGAGACTTTTGGAAGAATGGGGTTCTGAATTCTTTCAGTGAACATTGTGAAATTCATGTGCATTACTGCTTTTAGCTGTAAATAGTTCATTCATTTTCATTTCCTTATATGGCTACTGAAAGGTATTTTTGGTTGTTGTTTAATCGCTAAGTTGTGTCTGCCACTTTTGTGACACCATGGACTGTAGACCACCAGGCTCCTCTGTCCCTGGGTTTTCCCAGGAAGGAATACTGGAGTGGCTTGCCATTTCCCTTCTCCAGGGGACTGAACCTGATGCAGGTGAATTCTTTACCACTTAGCCACCTGGGGCTTCCGGTGGCTCAGATGGTAAAGAATCTGCCTTCAGTGCAGGAGACCCAGGTCTGATCCCTGGATCAGGAAGATCTCTTAGAGAAGGGAATGGCTACCCACTCAGTATTCTTTACTGGAGAATTCCATAGAGGAGCCTGATGGAGCCCATGGGATTGCAAAAGAATCCAACACAACTGAGCGACTTAACACTCACACTTTCACCTGGGAAGCCCAAAAGGCATCTTGCTTATTTCCAATTTGAAGCAATTACATACGCTGGTAATGAATATTCTTCATTATTCGTTGTTTTTAGTGTACATGTTTTAAGTATTTTTCACAGGTATACGTGTAGGAGTGGATTCAGTAGTTAATGCCCAACCATTTTCCAAAGTTGTCAAACTACTTACACTCCTACCAGGGCCAGAGGTAGGTGAGCATTCTCATTGCTCTATAGCATCACCAACCTATGGTCTTTTATTCTAAGCATGTTGATAGGTATGTTGTAGTTTAATAGTTTTAATTTGCATTACAGTGAGTACTGTTGAATTTGTTTGCAGCTTTTCATGCTTCCAGCCCATTTGGATAGTCTCATTTGTAAATTTTTGGTGCCAGTTTTTCTGTTATGTCATAGGAGGTCATTATATATACTTTTTGTGTTCTGTTGATCTGAGCCTTTTGTCAGTTGTGTATTGCATATGTCTATATTTTTACCTTATCACTTTTTACTAGTGTTTTGGTGAATAAATTCCTAATTTTAATGTGAAATATATATCAGTTTTTTCTTTAGTGTTACTGCTTTATGAGTCTTTATCTACCCTGGAGTCATGGTGATAATACTGTTTTCAGTTTTTCTTCTTCATACTTAGAAATAGAATCCATGTGTAATTGATGTGTGTGTGTCTGTGTGTGTAGGTAAGGTAAGAATCAGTTTTTAGATATGTGGAACAGTTGACTGAAACTGTTAGAAAAAAGTTTATCCTTTTCCTTCTCTTCTTCTGCAGCGTTATCATCAATCAAATGTCTATGGGTTTGTCTATTTGTAGGCTCTGCTTTATTCTGTTGATATGTATTTTTCTTGAGCTGGTATCACACTGTCTTAATTACAATATTGAGTCTTAACCAAGCAAGAACATGCTCTTTCCCATTGATTTAGTTATTTAATCTCTTGGTATTTCAGCATTTTCTGTGTATCATACAGATTGATGTCTTGATTAGTGGTATTTTTGGATTCTATTCGAACTTCAAAATTTTGCATTTTCTTGTGTGTCTGCTATACAGAAATCAAGTTGGTTTTGAATGTTGACCTTGTTTTCATTAATGCTGTGAAACCCACTTATTCTGATAACTGTATGTAGATTTTTTTGCATACAATCGCATCTGTAAATAATTAGAATTTTATTTCCAGCTGTCATCCAGGATCCTTAGTACAATATTGTGCAGAAGTGATATGATAGTATGCATTCTTATGTTCTTATTCTCAAAGGAAAAGCTATCAATAATTTCATTGATCATGTTCTTTAAGATTTTTTTGTAGAAACTCAGGGAAGTTTCTATTCTTAGTTTATTCGATTTTTATTATGCATGGATAATTTTATTATGTATGTTTTTATCAAATACCTTTATTTTCTCTAATGAGATTATCCAGTTATGCTGCTTTTTATGTTTAATTTGTAATGTATTGAATTACATCAGTTTTTCAAATATTAAAACGTCTTTCATTCCTGAAAGAAACCTAACTTGCTGTGATTCAATTTGCCATTGTTTTAAGTTTCTTATGTGTAAGGTAATTTAGTTTCCCTTCCTCCAGACGTCCCTGTCAAGCAGGTACCAAGATTATGTTAAACTCAAAAAACAGGCTTAAAAGTTTTTTTTTCTAGTCTCTGAAAGAGTTTTTGTAAGATTAAGGCAATTTCTTTCATAAACTTTTAGTAGATCTCAATATGGCTGTGTTCCCTGTGTTGTACAGTACACAATCCGTTAGTTTGTGCCTCTAGTTCCCCTGCCCCTGTAACAGACTCCCAGTGGGTTGGAGGAGCAATATGAGTTTTATCTTTTGCTAATCTTTGTTGTTGTTCAGATTTTGTCATTTTGAATGTGTACTGGACATTGTGTTTACAGAGATCTTTGTGGATAAAAACTTGGAACTTGGGGTGATAATTTCCTGCAGAGGATTTATGTTGCCTCCTCTGGGAAAAGATGCTCCAGTGTTGTTCACCTCTAGACTTCTTTCTCTCCCCAATTACTGGACTTGTAATTTTTGTAACTCTTTTGTAAAAGAATTTTGTAATTCTTTTGTCAGTGTCTTTAGGCAGCTTTTCTTTATCTTATTGAATGCTGGCTAATACGTTATTTCTCATTTTTCTTCTAACATTTATAGTAAAGCTGAATTGTGAGTTAATTTTATTTTTGTTTAAATCAGTTTCTAACCTTTGCTGACCTCAAAACTAATATTTTGATGATGAGAACTAAAGCTGAACAAGTATAAGGGCATTTGGACATGAGTGGACTGTCACTTTTTTTTTTAAGCAAACTGAAATATGATGCTTTACAATGTCTGTTTTAAACGTAAACTCTTACTTCACAGAATGCTTTGGATAAACAAGAAGAATTGACACCTCTCGGAGTTCACTTGGCACGATTACCAGTTGAGCCGCACATTGGGAAAATGATTCTTTTTGGAGCTCTCTTCTGTTGCTTAGACCCGGTGCTCACCATTGCTGCTAGTCTCAGCTTCAAAGACCCCTTTGTGATCCCACTGGTAAGGGGCATGCGGGTAAAAAGCTAGGCTTTCCTTTTCTAACACAGCGTAGTTATTTGCTTAGATACACTTTTTATTAGAACGCCATTCTCCTTTATATACCATCAGAGCAATTTAAGCTGCCTTCATCTGTTTTAAGGGGAAAGAAAAGGTCGCAGATGCAAGAAGAAAGGAATTGGCAAAGGATACTAAAAGTGACCACCTGACTGTCGTGAATGCATTTAAGGTAAAATGGACATATTTTAAATTTAAATTTTTAAAATATGTGTTATAGTTAACAGGAATAAGTTAAATTAGTGAGTGAAAATGTTTAAAATTAGGTGAATATTTGAAAAAAATTATACACTTTCCAATTTTGTGATAGTGCATTATTACATTTACCCTTTTGGAAGAAAGTCTGTTCTTTGTGTTTTGATAACAGAACAAGTGAACAACTTATTTTAAAGCATTATTTGCTATTATTCATTTCCATATTTGTCTTATTCACATTTATGACAGGAGGTTCTTTCCTGTTTGTTAATAAACTATACCTGTATTCAGATTTAACATTTTGATAGAGGATCATAATCATGTATACTCTTCAAGAAAGAGAGACATTTTCTTTTACAGCTAGGCTTATCTGAGAATAAACATGTCTCATCCATCTTTGCAACATTTAAGTGTAATTTGGGGTATGGAGACAACATCTTTTTATTGTAGTTCTAGACTCAGTTTCCTGTTATGGGATTCTTTATGTATTTTTTTTGTTCCTTTGAGCTAATTCAGTATTTTTCCCCACTCTTCCTTCCTTTTCTAACATAAAGCAAAACATATTTGTGAAGGTGAAAATATATAATAGCGTTGAAATTTGTCTAACAGGTACAAATTTGATTAGTACATCATGTGCAGAATGGTGCTGTTTCATGTAAAATGAACAGTACATTACTTTATAACTTGCTCTAATTTGTGTAAAGAAAGGTCTGTAAATTTAGTTTTGTTTACCTATTAATGACTAGGATTATGGGGAGTTCATGTTTTTGTAGTTTGTTATTTTTTTAATTATTTGAGTATTTTTACAGAGAAAAATCAGAAGGTAAGCATTGTTACTAAAATAAAGACAAACTAGTAAGTAATCTTTGCTTTGGGGAATAAAAATACTTTATTTCTTTGCCCCCTAGGGATGGGAAAAAGCTAAGCAACGTGGTTTCAGATATGAAAAAGACTATTGCTGGGAATATTTTCTATCTTCAAACACATTGCAGGTAATGATGAGTGTTTTGAAGTAATTCTCACATATGTTAGATTAGGGGATATATGTATCCATTCTATATGGTCAGATCTATACCAAAAAGTTAATTGTGAGTTTGTCTTGTGAAGTTGAATCATACAGAATCATAGAAAAGACTTTATTAAATCAACTGCAGTAGCACAAGAAAAAGATGTACAACATAATAAAATAATGGCTAAGAGAAGAAACAAGCCCAGAGTTTGGCAGGAAAACACAGAAGCTCGTTTACTCTTTCTGCACCTATCCTTTAGTTGCCATTTTGAGGATTTGTTTTAAAATTTTCACTGATACTTCCAAAATCTGTTTTAAACTCAAATAGGGCAAGTATCTCTTTTTAAACTTTAGATGGGTATTTTTATCCTGAACTGACTTAGTATAGTGAGAAAACACTATTGGAGACATTTGTGAAACAGAAGAAAGTAAACAGTTAAGGCAAATGCAACATCAGACACTGCACTGAACTAGAGAAATGATCTCAAGCCAGTAGGCGTAGGAATATCCACACCTTTTAGGCTATGTGGATGAACTCTGGTAATGGACATTTAGCAGATCTACAAGGCGGTAAAGAATCCAGAATCCAGCATATTTAATTAAATGTGCCCAAACATTAACAGAATTAAAAGAAGGGTAATGACAAATTGTGAAAGATTCTACAGCCAATGTATAAAAGAAGGGAACCTGGCATATCTCAGCAGAAAATACAACTGTTTCATAGTTAGAAACAGTTGAAAAATGCGGTTTTAATAAAAGAAAAGAAAATAAACCAGTAAAAGGAATGAAAAGATTGCTGAGCCAAGAAGACAAATTGAAGGCCATAGAATCATAAGGAACAAAATGGGCAACCTTTTAAAACAAAATATTGCCTAAAAGGAAGGCTTGAGATAATCACAGCCTGTAGATGCAGCCATGAAAGAAAAAAATAAAGCAATAAGTTAAAAGCTCATAGGCAGGAAGACAGCATTGATCTATCATGAAGGTAACAGGTGTCTCTTCATAGAAAATCCAGGAGTGATTGAATATGTATTCAGAGATATATGTAAGAACATGTCCCTTGAGTAGGAAAAAAATGAAGTGAACTACAGTATGAAAAGATAGTTAAATCCAGTGTTATTTGAGAATACTATATCCTGTCAAGATATTAATTCAAGTATAAAGAAAAATGACAGGCATTCAAGAAAGCACTTGAAATAGACACTCATGAGCTGACCTTGAAAAACTTAGAGTAAAATGCTGCGTATTAAGAGGTGAATCAAAAAGAATTTAGGAATTGGAGAATGCATGCTGAGTATACATTGAAATTATTTAAATATGGAAAAATGCAAAATGGTATTGAGAATTATGGATATAGAAAAATAAAAAATAGTATTGTCCTGAACAATATATAATAATGGTGAGAGAAATCAGGAGGTGGCCTGGTGATTCAGTTGTAAGAGAAATTAGGTAGGAAAACTAAAGTCACACAATTCATAGAAAGGATATGTATTTAAAAATGACTTGGGACTTCCCTGTCAGTCCAGTGGTTAAGACTCTGAGCTCCCAATGCAGGGGACCCAGGTTCAATCCTTGGTCAGGGAACTAGACCCCACATGCCACAACAGCAAGATCCTGCATGCCATGACTAAGACCTGGCACAGCCAAATAAATAAATTATTTTTTAAAAATAACTATTTCATAATCTATTTTAAGCTCACAGACTTCTTTATTAAATATCTCATGATTATAAAAATGTTACATTCATCTAATTCAGTTTTATTTCTGTTCAATTTCCTTAAATTGAACTAAGGGTAAATGCTTTTATTAAAACAGCTTCTGTACTGTTATCGCAGTTAAGATGGCATTTTTGTCCAATTCTGATGAGTATCTGCAATATTGTTGATTTAATGATATTTCTGATGGTATTGAGATTAGGGAAGTCTTTTGTACTTCGCTATATTATTTGAATGCTTTTTATAACAAATCATGTATTTACTCATGATGATTTTCTTAAAAACAGGGAACAGGCCTTAAGCTTTTTAACCAGGATGTAATGGTAGTTCTCAGTAGTACATATGTGAATGTTATTTTACTGTATGCTTTTCTGTATTCCCCCCCCCTCCCAAATATGGGGTGGAGAGCAATTTTGGAAATTAGTCTTTTGCTGAATAAAAGAATTCTTAAACATCAGTTGTTACTCCCTATAGCAGGCAAGCCTTTTGTATAGAAGATCGGACAATAAATATTTTCAGTGTAACATGCACATGGTTTCCATGGGCTGCTCATCTTTGCCATTGTAATGCAAAAGCAGCCAAAGATGATACGGAGACAGATGGATGTGGCTTCGTTTCAATAAGACCTTGTTGACAGAAACAGATTTTTATAAATTTGTAGTTAACTATCCCCTGCTGTAAAACATCACATTTTTGCAAGAGTATTTTGTAAAGCAGGCAAAGCTTACCATGAAATTTATTTATGAGTGCACACTTTATAACCCCTGTAGATTTGTGTGAAAGGTGTTCTAGTTCTGTTTGTTACTATTGCTCCCTAGATGCTGCATAGCATGAAAGGGCAGTTTGCTGAGCATCTTCTTGGAGCTGGATTTGTAAGCAGTAGAAATCCTCAAGATCCAGAATCTAATATAAATTCAGGTACAGCAGGAAACACAGTGTAAATAACTTGCTGCTGTTGTCAGTTGTATCAGTAGTTTACTTTTTTTTTCCCTCTACCTTCTCACCCCGAATAGATAATGAGAAGATAATTAAAGCTGTCATCTGTGCTGGTTTATATCCCAAAGTTGCTAAAATCCGACTAAATTTGGGTAAAAAAAGAAAAATGTAAGCATTGAAGATTATTATAATTACTTATAGTTCTCTCAAACTTTTGAAACTATCTACTACAACACGGCTTGTATTGTACATTTGTTCTTACTTGTACTAGGACCCTATTCTTTACTTTGGCTATTTAAGGGAAGGCAGACTGTTTACGGTAGATACCACTGTTCCTCACTGCATATCCCGGAGACTTTTCCTTTGTCACCCAGTGTTCACAAAGAATACTAGTAATGCCGGTGTAAATGTGCTTCCCTGGCGGCTCAGATGGTCAAGAATCCTCCTGCAAGGTGGGGAGACCTGGGTTTGATCCCTGCAGAGGGCATGGCAGCCCACTCCAGTATTCTTGCCTGGAGAATCCCCATGGACAGAAGAGCCAGGTGGGGTACAGTCCATGGGGTCACACAGAGTCAGACACTGCTGAGCGACTAAGCACATAAATACGAGAACAGTGAGAACAGTAAGCCAGCCGCTGAAAAGTGGTGTCTCGGTGGGACTTGCTTTGGAGTAGATTATGTTTCAGGATATTTTTTTTTTTCCTCTCTTATGAAACAGATAATCTTGTACTTTAGCTCTTTGGATGAAATTGTGGGGGTTCTACCTATTTTGAGAAATAAAGTATAGCTTTAAATATAGGTCCAAATAGAGTCAGCCTCAGTAGTAATTGGAGACAACAATAAGGCATATTTTTGCCTGGTAAGCTCACTCATTCTGGTGAAGAAAAAAGAGAAACTGAAAGTCACCTATGGCTTGCAGTATGTGAGTTGGTGTCAGACTTTTGGAAGACACTTTAATATTAGGTATCAGCAGTCATTAAAATAGTCACTGGCCCAGTGGTTTAATATGTTCTAAGAAAGTCATTCCAAATGTTTTTTGCAAAGTATATTGTAAGCAACATAGATGTCTAGTAGCAGTGGGAAAATTATGGTTTTATAAGACCATATTGTATGGCATTTCTGTTAGGTGTAAAAAAACATCATTGTGTATTGACATGAAATATTTGAACTAATGTTAGGTGAAAGAGTTGGTTGTTCTATACACATGAAAAAATATAGACCTCAAAGATAGCCTAAAGTGCAGTCGTTGTTCTAGTGCAGTGGTTCTCAGCATGGGTAATCTTTCCTTCCCAGGGACATTTGACAATTTCTGCAGACATTGTGGTTTTGTTACTGGAGACGTATGTGTTACTGGCATCTAGTACATGGAGGCCAGGGATGCTGTTAAGCATTCCACAATGCACAAGTCCCCCATAACAAGGAATTCAGTAGTCAAGAATGCAGGCGTTGAGAAATCTATAATGTACCTGAGAATAGGGTAACATGAATGTTGATCATTGTGATTGGATTATTTACATTTTAAGTGATCTGAGTATTTTTTGACTTTGGTACTTTTTCAGATTCTTCTTCATATATATCCCTAAATTGTACAGGTAGCTTAACATGTTACAGGTAGCTTAAATATTTGAAATACATTTTGTATATTCCTCTGCCATCCTGGGAAGACTTTATGAAGAAAATGTATCAATAGTTCTCTTTGGATTGATGCTTTGCTTTGTAAAACGTGCAGGGGTCAGCATATTTTGGCATACTGGCTGAAAAACATGTTTGTAAATTTTTGTTGAAACACAGCCATGCCTATTCTCTGCCTGCTTACTAGCTACATTAGCAGAATTGAGTAGTTGTGACAGAATGCCCCCAAAGCCTAAAATACTTTGTCTCTGGTCCCATATAGAAAAAGTTTGCCAAATCCTGCTGCTCCAGTGATGTAGGGTTGCAGGATGACATTGGTTAAATTGACTGTGTGGTGAGGAAAAATAATTGATTTTATTCTAAATAATGGTTCATGACTGATGATTTTATGGATCCCTAAAACCATTAAAAAGATACCCTCAAAAACAGAGGAAGGATTCATGGGTTATCCCTTTATAATATAATTACCAATGATTATATAAAAATACTATCTCATATCTCCTTGTTGAATAATATTAACTAAAGACTCCTACAAATTGAGGTGAAATCCTTAACTATATCAAAGGAAAGACCCCCTAAGAATGGAGAGACTGTACTGGAGCTGTGTATGTTTATTCCAAGTATTCCTGTTTTGAAATGGGACTGGAGGGTTCAGTGAATGTGAGGCCATTTAAAACATATTTTAGAATAGGTTTTTAAAAATCAGAACTACGTTTTAGACAGAATTCTCCGGTTTTTAATTTTACTTGTCTGGGTGTGTAACCTGTGGATTTTTTTTTTAATTGATCATTTCATTTATTCTGTAAATGGAGGGTGGTTTAACAGTATCATGGTTTATCAGTATCATGATTTACAGTAAAATGTACAGACTATTCTGTTGGTCTGATTCATTTAGAATTCTCTCAGGTATTTATTTCATTCTTTGTCTTTTAATGGTGTATGTATTAACATAATTAGGGAATATTTTGTCACTTTTCTAATATGTTGAGTAATTATACCTGTAAGAGGATTTGTTTTATGATTTCGAGTGTTCATATTTATCTGATACTTTTCCATGTCTTATTAAAATAAAAATGCTCTTTCCTTAAATATAAGTTTGGAAATATATAATGCAGAAAACTCATCTGTGAAGTTTCTTTTGATTCTGGGATGATTTGAAGTCCTCCAGAGTTTTTTTTTTTTTAAACTACATTTTAACTTTTTTTAAAGGGTGAAAGTTTACACAAAAACCGATGGAGTAGTTGCTATTCATCCTAAATCTGTTAATGTGGAGCAAACAGAGTTTCACTACAACTGGCTTATCTATCACCTGAAGATGAGGACGAGTAGTGTAAGTGAATGTATAAAATAGCCATGGATCTGAATAACAGTATTACAGTGTTTTTAAAATTGTTTAGTTTTCATAATTACAAACCAAACTTGCTTTCTTTTAAATATTTTTTTAATTGGAGGATAATTGCTTTACAGCGTTTGGTGGTCTCTGCCGTGCGTCAGCGTAAATCACCTGCAGTTATGCATGTGTATCCCCTCCCCCCGTTCCATCCCTCTAGGGCATCACACTGCACCAGGCTGGGCTGCTGTTTTCTGTAGCAGCTTCCCACTACTTAGCTGTTTTATACTTGGTAGTGTGTATATGTCAGTGCTACTTTCTCAATTTGTCCTGGTCGCTCTTTCCCCTACTGTGTCCACGAGTCTGTTCTCTACATCTGCATCTCCATTTCTGTAAATAGGTTCATCAGTACTATTTTTTAGATTCCATATATATGTGTTAATACATGATGTTTGTTTTTCTGTTTTTGACTTACTTCATTCTGTGTAACAGGCTCTCGGTTCATCCACCTTACCACAGTTGACTCAAATTCATTCCTTATTATGACTGAGTCTTTTTTTTTTCCATTTATTTTTATTAGTTGGAGGCTAATTACTTTACAATATTGTAGTGGTTTTTGCCATACATTGACATGAATCAACCATGGATTTACATGTGTTCCCCATCCCAATCCCCCTCCCGCCTCCCTCCCCACCCCATCCCTTTGGGTCTTCCCAATGCACCAGCCCCGAGCACTTGTCTCATGTATCCAACCTGGGCTGGTGATCTGTTTCACCCTTGATAATATACATGTTTCAATGCTGTTCTCTCAAAACATCCCACCCTTGCCTTCTCCCATAGAGTCCAAAAGTCTGTTCTGTACACCTGTGTCTCTCTTTCTGTTTTGCATATAGGGTTATCGTTACCATCTTTCTAAATTCCATATATATGCGTTAGTATACTGTATTGGTCTTTATCTTTTTGGCTTACTTCACTCTGTATAATGGGCTCCAGTTTCATCCATCTCATTAGAACTGATTCAAATGAATTCTTTTTAATGGCTGAGTAATATTCCATGGTGTATATGTACCACAGCTTCCTTATCCATTCGTCTGCGGATGGGCATCTAGGTTGCTTCCATGTCCTGGCTATTATAAACAGTGCTGCGATGAACATTGGGGTGCACGTGTCTCTTTCAGATCTGGTTTCCTTGGTGTGTATGCCCAGCAGTGGGATTGCTGGGTCGTATGGCAGTTCTATTTCCAGTTTTTTAAGAAATCTCCACACTGTTCTCCATAGCGGCTGTACTAGTTTGCATCCCCACCAACAGTGTAAGAGGGTTCCCTTTTCTCCACACCCTCTCCAGCATTTATTGCTTGTAGACTTTTGGATAGCAGCCATCCTGACTGGCGTGTAATGGTACCTCATTGTGGTTTTGATTTGCATTTCTCTGATAATGGTGTTGAGCATCATGACTGAGTCTTATTCCATTGTATGTATGTACCACAGCTTCTTTATCCACTTACCTGTGGATGGACATCTGAGTTGCTTTGTCCTAGCTGTTGTGAACAGTGCTGCAATGAACGTTGGGGTGCATGTGTCGTTTTGAATTGTGGTTTTCTCAGATTATATGCCCAGTAGTGGGATTGCTGGGTGATCTGGTAGTCTTATTCCTAAGTTTGTTAAGGAATTGCCTAAAAAAAATTTTTTTTTTCCAATAAGACTTACAATGTCCTCAAGCAAATAACCTGTACTTTTAATGTCTGCAGATCTGTTTGATCGATCTTTCTATTTTAATTAATAGAAGGTTATTTGATTTTCATAATTTCCTTTTAGAGCCTATTTTTCAAGAAATACTGACATTTTATGGTATATAGGAGTTCACAGTGTATGAAGAATTTTATTGCCTTGTCAATATAACTTATAAATACTGGTCAGAATATTAAGTGGGACTTTTGTTAATATATAAATAAAAAGAACTTCAGCTACATTATTGTTTTGGTTTATCACTTAGAAAAATACTTTGCTTCCAGAATAGTTTTATTGATTGAATCAAAACAAAAATATAAAACTCCTTTGTAGTCTGAAGTAATGAAAAATGACTTGTTTAAAATGACATATTTTTTTAATTAGTCTGTCATTACACTGACAGGATAATAATAATACCTGTTTTAGAAGAAAAACACTAATTGATACTAGTGATTTTACTGGATTAATGTGACAATAATCCTTTCCAACTCCTTAACTATATTAACTTGCCTTAATTTTCTTTATAGATATACTTGTATGACTGCACAGAAGTTTCCCCATATTGTCTCTTGTTCTTTGGAGGTGATATATCCATCCAGAAAGATAATGATCAGGAAACTATTGCTGTAGATGAGTGGATAATCTTTCAGTCTCCAGCAAGAATTGCCCATCTTGTTAAGGTGACTGACGTTATATGGTTGTCTTTGATTCTGCATGAAAGTTAGTATACAGTGTTGTGTTTTTATCTAAGTGTTGTACATGTTACATTAAATATTTCTTGCTTTATTTCAACAGACGAAATTGTGTTGAGAAATCGATTTATAGTTTTTCCGAATTGGTTTTTGAGATAGTTACAGAGCAACCATTCTGAATGGCTAATAGCTTATGAAATTTCTTGTACCAGGTCAAGTCACTTTTATTTATTACACTGATAGTACACCTGCCTTTGTTGAACATGTATCCTTTTTCCAACTTCAGGAATTAAGAAAGGAACTAGATATCCTTCTGCAAGAGAAGATTGAAAGTCCCCATCCTGTAGACTGGAAGGACACTAAATCTAGAGACTGTGCAGTGCTCTCGGCCATTATAGACTTGATCAAAACACAGGAGAGAGCAACTCCCAGGAGCCTGCCACCACGCCTCCAGGACGGGCATCACAGCTGACAGGCGTTCTCTGTGCCCGGAAAGGCCACTCTACACCCGTCTTCCATCGCGGTTTAACTCTGGGCCAGATGCCAAGCCCCAGGATGTGAATAGTTTTAATGTGTACGGTAAAAACCTTCAGTAGGTAGTAAAGACTTAATGAGCATGAATTAACAGTTGTCTGTGGCTGCTATAAATACACCATAAAAACAGGAAGTTCTCTGATCATACACTCTCACTGTGGTCATGCCCACATTTTGAGAATATTCCTCTTACATACTTTGAATGTTGTGCCACTTGAGAAAGTCCTTTGTTATGAAATACTAATCTTTCTGCCCATAATGACCAAGTATAGAATCAGTAAAACTAGAATGATTAGCTAAAAAGCAGTGTCAAATAAGACTTTCGGCACATCCACATTTTTTCTAATGAAACTTCTGTCAGAAGTAAATTAATTTGTTGTAATAAAGTCCAGTATTTAATAAAATGTACAGTGTGTAAATCTCAGCTAGCTTTTTGGCTTGGTTTCTGCATCTCCACCTGTCCTTTGGGTTTTTTAAAAATCTTTTCAAGATATATTTGTATCCTTTTTATATCACCCTGTGCATCGTAATGTAGCAATAGAGAGCATGGGTCTAGAGCCAGACCACCTAAGTTCAGATTTTAGCACTGTCACTTACCCAAGATCTTAGGCAAATTACTTGGCGTCTCTCTGTTCCCGTTTTCTTTCTCTGTAGAATACACATAACAGCTGTGAGAATTACATAACTTGTTATATGTAAAGTGCATAGCCTAGTGTCTGGCACGTGTTGGGTACTCAGCAGATGGTAGTAGTTATTTGTCCATGAAATATTGTTTGTTAATAATGATCCATTAGGTTACACTTTTTTCCCTCATGCTCTGAGTGCTATTTTATACTCTGAGCCAGTGGTGGCTAGTCTGACCTGTACTGTGCAGCCCTGTCGGATTTAGACAAATACTGTTATTTGTCAAACAGCCTTTTTGTCCTTCACTTCCTGTTTGCTTGTCCATGTGTCCCCTCCTCTGTGCAGCCTTGTTCTCAGGGATGTTGCACCCTCTTGCCCAAGGGTGAATCATGCTTGGTCTAAGCCAATCATGCATGGTCTTACTCTCCTTATAAGTAACTGTTCAGGCATGAATATGTGGACCTGTCGTGTCTGATGTCAACTGAGAAGAGGTCTGCACCGGGGGCATCTGAGAAAGATCTTCCTCACTAGTACTTCGAGGAGGAAATTCTGCACTCCTCCTCTGGACATTGTCTTGTCTGTATTTGGCACTTAGAACCGCTGTAGCCATCTCAGAGTCACTAGGTTGGCTCAGCGGGCAGGTGAAATCAGCCAAGTCCTTGATAACACTAGTGAGCTGTTGAATTATCCAGCTCTGCAACTGCCCTGCACATGGACTTACTCTGATAACAACAAGCCCTTTATTGTTTTAGTTAGCCTCTTTTAGAAGTCTTTTTGCATAACTTGGCAGAACACGTGTTAACTGCAACACCTAACTATGCATCAGTGAGTGTTGTTTGCTGAGGCTTATATCCCTGTCATTTATTTTGTGATCTAACAGGTTGACCTTTATATCTGAGAAAAGATGTAAAAGTTGTAGTATTGGAAGTATTGTAAAAAGACAAACCTTGGAAGAACACCCTTGGTATACCATAAAAACTACAAATTTTCTTGTGTCTTCCAAAGAAGCCAGGGGAAAAGGAGTATCATATGATGACTGTGATGATCTTAACTGCACTGCTTCAGGTAGTGCTCCCATCTCTGGGAATGTGTGTCAACCTATCATTTCCTCCTAGGGTCCTGAATATTTTTTTTGTGCGTTCTAAGTCCATTCTCTTGGCTAGTCTCCCACAAGTGACTTGTCTGTCACTGAATTCTTATTCTGCGTCATATTGTGGCATGTTAGTTTTGGCCCTAAACTCAAGGTGATAATTAGGTACTATATGTTCTATAAGAATGTTTGTTTTCATGTTTGTGCTTTTTTTTTTTTTTTTTTGGCTTGCTTGCTTTTACTATACAGTTTAAATTGAGTTATTTGACCAAAATGGTCTTTGCAGAAAGCAGTTAAAACAGACTACTAGTTAATTAGTCGTGTGTTCACAGACCAGTATTGCCTCTCCACAGAGGGGAAAGATGTTCCTGCAGGATGGTTTAACAGATGAGCTATTTAGAGAGGTCAAAGGACTTAAATTACCACATCTAATTTATGTCTTCTCTACAACCAATCAAGATGGAAATTTTAGCTGACGGTGCTATTTATGTCTTTTGTTTACAGAATGGGATGTTACATAGTGACAAATGTATTCCAGGTCTTAGCACTACCTGTTATTTGGTAGTTTTAAAGAATAAGACATTAAGAAGAAAAATCTATTTGGCTTCCATTCTGATACCAAGGATAACTCTTGGAAAAAATAACCATGAAACAGAAACTTATGAGGGGAAAAAAAAGGCACTGAATAACCTTTAAAAAGAAAAAAGTCTTTGAAAAGTGAATCCATATAACACCTTCTTAATCATTAACTTGGGCAAAAGCTGTAGACGCATTTATACCAGTTGTTGCAAGTGATTTTCTCTTATTCATTTTTAAAACAAAGTCTACCCTACACGTTTGAATAATAAGAGAGTGGTAGGAGGAATTTATTTTATGTACTCTATTGCTCAAAGTAAATGGTAATCCTTCTTCTGCTCTGAGTTTATGCATATTTAAGTAATTGTGATCATATAGTATAATCATATTTATACTATACTAATTGTTTTTCATGGCATTTTTATTCCAATTTTAAAAATAAATATTCATTGTAGAATATTTGAAAATTCAACATATAAAATATGTTACTACTGTTACATACTTTTTTAATAAGTTTGAAGATATTATTTTATGTATAATAAAGTTACCCAAGTATAATTCTGTTAATTTTGTCAAATGTTTTCATTTGTAATTGTTACCCTGATGTAGAATATTCCTGTCACCTAAAAATATCCTTTGTTCCCTTTGCAGTCAGTCCCCTGTTTCCACTTTCACGCATTGGCAACCATTGATCTGCTTTTGGTCACTAGAAAATTCAAAAGTTTTGCCTTTTCTAGAATTTCAAATAAATGGAACAATATATAGTCTTCTGTGTTTGGCTTCTTTCAGTTAACAAAAAATGCTTTTGAGATATTTATGTTGCTATATGTATCAGAAGTTAGATCCTTTTTATTGTTTAGTAGTAGTAGTGTTTGTTACACCATAGCTGGTTTTATTTTGTTCAGCATTTACTTTTGTTTTTATCTGTGGCTGCCCTGGGTCTTAGTTGCTGTACATGGGCTCTTCTGTAGTTGCATTGAGCAGGGCCTACTCTCTGGTTGCGGAGCACATATTTCTCATTGCAGTGGTTTCTTGTAGCGGAGCACAGGCTTGAGGCACGCAGGCTTAAGTAGCTGCAGCTCATGGGCCTTGTGGCTCCACGGCATGTGTTTCTTTCCGGACCAGGGATTGAACCTGCATTGGCAGGCGTTTCTTTACCACGGAGCCACCAGGGAAGCCCATCACAGCTTGTTTATTGATTCACCAGTTGATGGATCTTTGTGAGTTATCTTTAATTTTTTTTTGCTGTTATAAGTGAAGTTATTTTTATATGTACACAGGTCTGTGTGTAGATAGATACTTTCATGTCTCTTGGATAAGTACCTATGGCTAGGATTGCTGTGTTATATTGTATTTAAGTTTATAAGAAATTGCGAAACTGGTTTCCAAAGTGGGTGTTCCATTTTACACACCTACCTTCCATATGTTATGATTCCTAGTGTTTCAAATCCTCACCAGTACTTGGGTATTTTTAGTTGTTTGTTATTTTTAGCCTCGAGTGGATGTGGAGTCTCATAGCTCATTGTGATTTTGTTTTGTATTTTTAATAATGATCAGTGATGAACGTATTTCATGTATTTACTTGCTGTTTTCCTTGGTTGTCTTATATGTGTGTTCTGATCTGATTTTCTACTTCATGTTGTTAAGTAATTGGGGCTTTAGGGATATTAGAGAGGAAGGCTTATTCTCTATGCATTTTAGAAGTGCAGAAAATCTAAAGCCATTGACCTGAATATGGCAAAATGTGCCCCTCCTCATTCACTAGTACAGTGGAAAGAGTTAAGCCAGTGTACCAGGTGCCAGAAGAGAATTCAGAAGGAGCTGTCTTTTTCAAAGATGTGGCAAAAACACTGAAGAGCAAGCACTGACAACCTGAGAGAGGGGTTTCTCTCCTGGGCATCAGCAAATGTAGGCATTTTTACAGCTGACGAAACGCAAATAAATAGTCCTGTGTAAACACTGGTGCAGAAGAACAAAATAGCACTGAAAGCTACAGGGTTCAAAATCGGGTTTTCTCTGATCCTTGGGAACCATGCTTTCCATGCAGAGTCCCTGAATCTGTAGTCATAGTACCTTAACGATTCAACTGAGAAGAACTAGAGCAGACTTCGGTGGGAGAGAAACACCAGGTGTGTAGAGGTCATGATGTCAAGAGGTTGCACATCCCCTGTGAGGAAAAGAGCAGGGCATAAGAAAACTTTTCTTGTTTGGGTAAGGGCATGCGAGTGAACAAACACAGCTGATGTAGAAGCACTGCAGAACCAACCTTTAAGACTGCTTAGAGTTTTGGTAGTTTGTGGTTTTCAATGAACTGGCCCATTTTATCAATGTTGTTCAATATACGTGGAGTTGTTTGAGTATCTTCTTACCAATATCTGTCAAACCTATAACAATATGTAGTCTTCCATTCCTGACACTGACAGTTTCTTTTTTGGTCAGCTTGCTAAAAGGTGTATCAACTGTATTCATCTTTTCAAAAAACTAGCTGTTTCACTAATTTTCTATTTTCAGTTTCATTGATTTATGTATATATCTTTTTTCTTCCTTCTGCTTCTTCGTGTTTACATTTTTTAATTTCTTGAGGTGGCAGCTTAGATTTAAGTGTTTAGTGCCATAAATCCCTTTCTAAAACACTGCTTTAGCCCCAG